TTAAGAGAATCAAGTTGAGTAACAGTTTAACTATAAATGATATTTCACTGTTTTCTACAGCTAAACTTGCTTGTCATTAATAATCCTCCTGATTTCCAATTGACCATTTTAATACAGTCAAATGATTTCATTTTTGTAAGCCGTACGGAGATAATGATGAGATTGTTATATGATGAAATTATCATTGAAAAATCCAAAGTTGATCCATTTGATTTTTTAGCTAAATATAATGCACCCGAACATCGATTACCACGACGCGCTATGCTGACTAGTATTAGGGATGGTTGAAAGAGAGTTAGGGGCGGCCAAATCGAAACGTGACATCAGTGCTTGAAGTCTGTGCCACGTTGGTAGATGCAGACTGCTTGGTTGGGGTTCGCATGACTATCGTAACCAATGGTTGGGTACTCTGGGTGATATGGCTCAGAATCAACCACAATGGCGTAGGCGTATACACTCTTTTTCTTCTCTTAAACCGTGAGATTAAAATTGCTTCATGCCTGTCTTTCTTCCAGTAATATATCCTTATATACAATCTTTATTTCATATATTACCACCATTAAATTAACTACTATGAATTTGGTGTTCATCTTGTTGTGCTAATGAGGTATGGCAACTTGGACCGATACATATATGTGTATGGTCCTACGTCGTAGCTGACTGACACCTGAAATAATTCACACGGCCCAAATCATTGTACATATAATATTTGACTAAAATACAGAACAAAACAAAACAGTTATCCATTTAATATATTACAGTCATCTCTATTATCATCTGATCTCATCTATGAATAGGCTAGAATTCATCTCTGGATTTTTGATAGCCTCCAATATATTTCCAAGATTCAATAACAGTGACAGTTTAATGTAGAAGTTATCCACTACTAGATTATACTGATAATTAGTAAATTTTTCTCAGTGAAAAAAAGCATTTTCAAAACGCTACCAAGTATCTTAGATGTATAGTACCTGAAACTGACCAACCGCAATAGAACACTAACATTTATCTCATTGAAATAATGAACTGTTTTCAATTGTTTGTATTATTACCTTCATCGCTAATGTCATAATGAAAGAATTTCCTAACGAAGAAAGATATATTGACAACTGATCACTCCTTACCAACTTGAGTTAAATCTAATTTACTCACTCTAAACCTGTCGAATAGAGAACAAACACACAAAAAACAGATGAGCTCAATAGCGTCATAAGGGTAATAACTTTTCATACTACTTGTGAGTAGGAGAAACTTAAGATCTTGTACTACTAAGTTATTCACTTACTTGGTCTTTATATTCTTTATTTTCACTCTTTTATTAATAATTCAATGTCATATTCCTCAGAATATCACATGAGATTCGATTATTTATAGTTTGAAGAGGATATATCGTTCATCTACGAGGTTCATATTGAAAGGAAATCATCGAGAATATCGTCATTTAACGCTTGTATCTAAGTTGATATTCTGTGATGACAGAAAAGACCCTTCTCGATGTGAAAGATATAATACCTCCAAATAGTCGATATTATAAAGTTTATTCTCTTCATTAGTGATTGAGAATACCGTTATGATGAAAATAATTACAGCACATTTACATCTCTACAATGTACCTTACGAGTATAAACCTAATAACATATTATTCAAATTTGATATTTCTTAATAATCGATATCCACAACTACACAAGTGACCCAACTCATAAGCTAGTAGCCAGCACATTACAATTCAAACATTAAACTATGACCGAAAACCTCCACTTTCTACATCCAATCACTTGACGTGCCCCCGAATGCCCTGATATGACCGAGAGTGGGGAGAATCCGCTCTCCCTCTCCAAATGTTCTCAAATGGCCACGCGTTTATCGCCTCTGTCAGGGAAGTCCTACTCACTGCCTTCTCGTGGCGCGGGTGTTGCTTACAAAATTGAGAGGACGAAAAGCGAATGTCCGGTGCTTCAACCGGGGTCGTGGATACGGAAAGTCCACCTAGGGAAGTTGGAAAACCCTGATTCCAAACCAATGGTGCACATGGGCTCCAGTATCTTGAGTGAACAAATAGCATATGAATCAGTCGTCGGTCACCGACTACCATGGGACTGCATCTCCCCACGATGCTCCACTGCCTTGTGGACTAGACCTTCAAGTCAAAGGCTCGGGATGTGGCCTCCTAAGAGGACCACCTGTTTCGGTCTGGGCACCCGGGCAGTATCACAGCCCTCACACAAATCAAATGAGATATGTGTGGCGCATATAAATCTCGTGCTCTTTTTTACCAATATTTATGTGTTTACATAAATAAATCACTTGATGTATTACGGTGATCATCATATAATATCAGTGGATTCCTTATTTGATGATATATATATAGTTTAAGAAACATATCAATAGAATTCCGTTGTTTAATTTATAAATTCCTTACTTTCACAGAATAGGACTTTTAATCTAGGATTTCGGTACAAGACAAAACCCAGGTTTATATTGTCTTGCAATTTATCAAAGGTATTCATATAATTACTAAATGAATGAATACACTTTTGGTGAATATGAAATTTTGGTAAGAAAACAGATCATTCACGATTATATTCACCCAACTAGTATAAATAATAAAACTGACAGTCTTGATCCTTTGTTTTTAACTATAGATACATATATACTACTGAAATAATAAAAAAGAATATATTAATTATATTTAGAAGGGGATTTGTGGAGATTTCAGTATTTTTCAAAGTTGAAATCATGAGTCAATTGAAGCTAGACCACCATCGAAAACCTGGAAGCACTGGATTAATTATACTCTTTTAGTTTGGATTGGTTAATAACCCCCTATCATATACATAATAAATATATATCTTTTTACAATGAAAATAAACCACACCATACATATTCTCTATTGTTATCATCCATTGACGTCAGTAGGGAATACACTGGGAAGTAGAGTGTAAATTACAAAACTAACCAGATTAAAAAAATAATTTATGAGAGGAAGAAATGTCTTTGTCTATTTAACCATATGTGGAGAAATTAGAATCTTAATAGTAAAGATAATCATGGTAACTGATAATAACCAACTTCTATATGATTAATTTATTAGGAAAATATGTTAAGATGTATAAAAATATATATTTTATGTGTATTAACTATATGAGATCAGTAGTGACCCGAATAGTTTAATGGTAACATATCAGACTATTAAACTGAGTGATATAGGTTTGAGCCTTACAAGTAGCATTAGTCCCCTTAGGATTACAGATATATCTTAACAATTACATAACAATAACATAATGATATATGTGCTGACAATAAAGTTTTTGGAGATTATTTAAACTGAAGATGATTTACATCACGAACTAACTTAAGATAGATAATCGCTGAAAGATTCGGAGCGATAAACAAATATTTTATTTTCATTAGGTAATGCCCTCTAGATGTTTATGTTTCAAGGTGAACATGTGACCCATAAACAAGTGAATCCGCCGTAAGTTTTAATGTGATACTAATACAAAGTCCATCTGTTGTTAAAGTAATGGAACACACAATAAGCTTACAATTTTGTGCTTTTCGCCAATCTTGGTGAAATAAATGCTTCTTCAGATATCGGACAATACTAACCGACTAAAATAAATAACAGACTCATGAACGGAAACCTTTTGAAAGCAAGAGAATCGAACTTATTAGATATGTAAAGGTTATTAGAATTACATGAATTTATTTGATACTAACAGGTTCTCATCAACCGTTTACAACATGAAAGACTGCAATACAAGTCCTGTATTACAATCATAATTAATGAAATCCCGATACTTTTATATATAGATCACAAACTATACCTAAGCCAAATACTAACCATTATAAAGCCACGTTTTTACGGTGACACACTAGCATACTACTATCTAGTAGTATCATTTTATCCCACATCAAACTTATACACTTTCTTGAAATAGCCATCAACATCCTTTAAGCACATATTGTTAAGTATGGACATAAATATGCACATATTCATTTGACACTTAAATATATCATACTACTCCAACTTAACCATTGTGTATAATTAGTTTTTATGAGAAGAATATTCAGTTTTACCTATTCAATTTAATCTTCATGCTATATAATAATTGCTGTCACTTGACCGGCTTATCTTCATCTCGATTCCCACATTCAAGTATAAAAAAAAGATAAGATTTCCTTCTCCTCAACACTCAGTTAGATATCGGCGAGACTATAACTTATAGACGACCTTTCAACGAATACAATATGACCATGAGAAATGTTAGCAAGTCAGTAAACAGTCAGTATAGAGTAAAAATATATTATACAAAACCAAATAATTAAAGTGGATACACTTCTTTTATATGGTTCAAAAACTTGTCAAGGTTAGAATAAGATTCAAAGGCTACAAAATCTTAATACATAAGGTAGAGGAACTCATCCATGTGGCTCCATAATAGTTGATCTCTGGAACCATGATAAAGTCACAAAAACCCTCTCAGCCTTGACCGCATAGTTTCAATATTGTTTGTGTGTACTCCGGTTGTGTAAGTTTATAATTTTTATTATGGATATGTCCCTACAATACTCATACCACCGAATCTTCAGTAACATCAGAAATTATTGTAGCTAATGTTACTGTTGCTTTTATTATACAGTTCGCGGCAATTATTATAATATGCCCTAGTCTCAATCTGGATCGAGCGATAAAGGTTCCTATTCTAGCAAACGTCTTCCTTCAACATATATTACATCGAAGGACAATATCACGGTAGTTTGCACAAGGTCTACAAGTCATTTAATACCCACAATTACAAATACAGGAACTTTTTAGTAGTCTCATTTGTTGTAGCCGCTTAATTGTCAAGTCTTTTCTATAATTCTCTAAGAACCGATCGTACACGAGCGCCAGGTACTGAGATCGGCGCCGTGACCTTGGAACCCCTCAAGCACTTCTGATTGGCTCGTCCATAAATTATAGTCTCGCCATAGATATCATTAGATATATAACATTTGTATGAAAGAATATATTCATTATGTAAATTTAAAAAAACGATAGTAGTATTGTCTAGAAAAAGGGAATTGAATCTGTACAATTTACATTCTTTTGTTTCCGTTTCTTACTACAAGAAAATAGAATTTGGTTCAAGACATATGAAGATGATAGTTTAGAGAATGAATAATTCGTCCTTTAAAAAAAATAAAGCAAAATGCTATTTAAGAAAGATTTTCTTTGAAAATTGGTTCTGTTTATTCAGTATTATTATTATCATCGTCATCATCATTGACATCAAATGGCAAAAACATTTTTCGAAAATCTTTAGCTAAATCAGTTTCTTCATCTTCTTCATCTGTACAATCATGCCAGTCGGCTTTTTCTGGACAATTTAAAATACGTGGATCTGTTAGGACAATCCTGTAAATAATAAAGATAAATTAGAAAGAATGTAAAAAAGGAAGAATAACAAATTAGTTGTAGATATAGTGAAAAAGTATTATGGATTATTAAAGAATTCAGTTGATTAAAAATGTACAAATTAATGTGTTAGGTAATGAGAGTTAGTCGGCAGGATACCCTAGACCTAGGTTTTATGCTAGCTGGTACACGTTAGCAAGTTGTACCTGCAAACTTGAGAAAACTTATGCTCTTTTTGTGGGCTTCGAACCCGTGCCACTCAGATTCACACAGCCTGAAACGTTACTACAAAGTTGTTCAGGCCACGACTGACTTTTACACAAGCACCTTGCTGATGAGTGCCAAACAACATGGGACTTAGATACAGGGTTTCTCACTGACTATTTCAACTACCTAACATCTCAAAATAAGGTATGTAATGTTGAACTACTTAGACTAGAGGTTACATAGCAACTTTACTGATAGAATTCAATCAGCATTAAAAAAGACTAGATGAACAAGACATTAGTCATAATTCGGTGATCGCCTATTTGTACCGAGATCAATGAACTAGATTATGGACAAAATATATTGCTTGAAGTTTTGTAGTGGTAGTTATGGCAATATTATTCATTTACAGTGGATAGCTTTGAGCCACTTTTCTTTACATTAAAATCAGTGATACAAGCCGACTGTTCAAACAAAAGTTCATGGGACACGGACTTCCAAACCAATACTATTAAAAATCGGAAATTATGACAATTACGCATCCGCTCTACTGGCACTTTATGTATGATTGATTACTCTTGCACTGTTAGGTGGAACAGGTTACAGAATCATAACCCACTGAACTAAAGTAAAAATCTGTAGTGATATATTAGTCAGTCAGTCGCAATGTGACACTGTCACGTAGGTATATCGGTTCTGCAAGTTGCTATACATCATTAGCACAGAGAGATGAAATTGTCGGACCAAAGTCGAAAGTACTAGTGGTAGTCGCAATAGCAGTAGTAGTACAAAAGATTAAACATCGAAGAAACGATTCGAGTAGGAAATAAAAATTATCGAAGCCCAAAGAAAATTATGAATTCAGAAGCTTGGAATTTGGAGGGGAGACAGAATGGATACACCTGCGCCATCGTAAACGATTTTGAGCCATGTCATTCAAAGTCTCCAAGCATTAGTTACAATTATCACGTAGACCCCAAACAGGTAATCTACACCTATAACATCGCTCAGTCCAATTGTCAATGACTTCGTGGACTTATGCCATGTTTTGGTCTGGTCGCCTCTAGCTTTCTTCCAGCCTACTACTCCTATACAACATTGGTCATCGAAGTAGGCAGTGGTTGGATACACATAACACATGTCCCGACGACTTCAGTTGATGAAGACTTACTACCGAATCAAATAGTTATATACACTGACACACTTGAAATCCGGTAACCATGCAAATTTATGTGTGGTATTTAAACTGTGGATCACGATCACTGAACGAGTCCCATTCAAAGTAAACAATAACCATCACGAAACCTACAATAATCTCCAAATACTAATGAAATCTTATAGATGAAAAATTCACCTTTTGACAGGTTTCGGGACAAAAGTTTGTACAAAAACCCGACCTGAGAGTGGTAATCGGTTTAACTTAACGACAGGTCTACCAAAGAAAGAAATCAACCTTCTAAGGCTCGTCCATTTTAACATCGTTGATAGAGATGGAACTTTTGAAAAACTGTCATGGTGATTAGCTGAGTCAAGCGATGTTTCTCAAAGAAACTTATTTATTTGTTTATTTGAACACATAAATATTGGTACAAGGGGGCACCAGATATATATGCGCCACAAAAAAATTTCATTTCATTTAATTGTGTGAGGGCTATGATACTGTCCGGGTGCCCATACCGAAGCAGGTGGTTTTCTTAGGGGACCACACCCAGAGCCTTTGACCTACGGGCCTAAACCCATATGAAGATGTACCCATTAACTTAGAGTAGTCAGATAAAACAGTTTTGTCTAGTGGAAACGCCTACAATGTGATCTTCTGAGTGCCACAAGTGACTATTGAGGAATGAAAGAAGTGACTTAGTTTCTTTCCAAATACGAAATTTACTGTTTACTAGCGATTTTAGTCGATGCTTAGTCTAAGTAGTCGAAAGCACTGACCACGCCATTCATTTTGGAAGCCCTGACAGTTCAGAATTTGTGGTTGCAGTCAAAAAACATTCCACTATACGTACTATTTACAGGGTAGGTGAGATCTTTACCTGAACATCACAGCGAGTTTACTAGGAAACTGTCCCAATTGTACTACCATAAGGTTGTAAAATTTAGTCCCTGAAAGTGGAGAACAGGTACATGTTCTATATAGCTGACCATACGGGTTGACAAAGCATCGCTCAAAAATAGTAGAACTGATATCGAAGTTGAATGTAAGATTTGAATAAACGTGGGGAATTAATTGATGGCGCTGAAAAGCCTTGGAAACAAAAGCGGTTATGGGGTGTAGTACACATACATAGTAACAGTTCACTAAAATGTGTGATGCTGACTGGCATGAAAATGTGTTAGAAAACTAGTGGAGACCAAACTAATATGCAACATCAGTCCATGAAATCACTTACTGTTGGTGTGCGCTTTGGGTGATGAAGCTCAAAAGCGATATTAGTTCAATTCACTCCCATAAATATTGCCCTTAGTGTCACCCCATATATCAGATTACTGTAAATGATATCAGTATTATTATTCTGACTCCTCTTTTTCTTATGTTATTAATTTACCCACCCTTGCACTTATATATGAGATGGGATAACTTTGACCGGTAACCCGTTCGTATCAAGTCATACGCTGTGTACACTCAGTAAACTTATGATAAAAGTCAATCCTTTAGCATCATTTGTTAGGAAGCTTTTAAGTGAAAAAATTTTTGATTCAAGATAATCAGAATTAATACAATGAACATACCGACCAAATTGTAAGTTCGCACTGGAAATACGATCTTTTGGAATTCGTCCAAAAAGTTTTTCACCAGTAGGGAGCTCAACAAAAAAATAAGGAATTCCAACTCTACAAATCTATATTAAACAGTTATAAATAAGAGAGTATGTATTACACAAATATATATAATGGTAGTTACTGAATATATAGAGGAAATGAAATCTAATGAAATTTCTGAACAAATTGTAGAGTCCAAAAAATGATTTTAGTTTTGGTTATCAGAAAACGAAAAGGGACTAGCAACACATAACGGACGACAGTAACGACAACAACTAAGAAAAAGTTAGTTCCAACTTAAAATGACCTGGAATTTGATAATAGAAGTCATTTCTATTGTTTAATCTGAGAATAAAAATGCCGACAAATCAAAAATTCTAGTATTATCATTCTGATGAGTGAAGTAAATATATTAGCGTTTTTTACTCAAGTGATTATCTTTTGAACCTTTCTGAATTTCTATATACTATTTATAAATCTTGTAAGCTATGATCAAGGAGTGGTCTACAGAAATTTCTCTTACACTTTCATCCATATCGTTTTTAAGAAAAAACATAATTTAACAGAATACATCAATTACGGGTTTTATTTTATTATTATTTAAACACATAAATATTGGTACAAGGAAGCACCAGATAAATATGCGCCTCACAAATCTCATTCCATTTGTGTGAGGACCGTGATACTGCCCAGGTGCCCAGACTGAAGCAGGTGGTTTTCTTAGGGGGCCACACCCGGAGCCTTTAACCTAAAAGCCTGATCCACAAGGCAGTGGAGCATCGTGAGGAGATGCAGTCCTATGGTAGCCGTTGACCAACAATAGGTTCATTCGCCATTCGTTCCATCAGGATACTGGAGCCCATGTGCACCATTGGTTTGGAATCAGGGTTTTCCAACTCCCCTAGGTGAACTTTCCATGTCCACCAACCCGGTTAAAGCGCCAGACATTCGCTTTTCGTCCTCTCACTTTCGTAAACAACACCCCCGCCACGAGAAGGCAGTGAGTAGGACTTCCCTGGCAGAGGCTATATATTCGCTGGCCATTTGATAGCATTTCGAGAGTGAGAGATGACTCTCCCCACTCTCGGCCGTACCAGGGCATTTGGGGGCTTTAGGTACTCAACTTTTGGGTACATTGTTTAGATAAACGACATTGCTCGGATACCCAAACCAAAAGAGATGAGGGAGAATTTGAATCAACGACACTTTTGTTGAGTATTTTTTAACACTAGGCCACCACCACTTATTCTACTGGCGTAAAAATACCCTTCAAAATTAGAGATTATATGTACATTGTAAATATTTGATGATAAATAAAGTTCGACTTTAATTAATATGATAATAGTCTTATTGGTTTAGTAGTCACTTCTTTTAAGATGGATTGAACGTAGACACTTGTAAAAGATTCTTTAAATCAAAAAGAACTGCTTCCTAGTTTTACAGCTAAATTTAAATTTATACTGTAGACATTTTTAAAATAATTTTAAAGTTAAACCACAAAAGTTTACAAAACATACTTCATCTAATTCTGTCCGTCGAGGAACTGGTTTTAGTTTGCATGGACTAAAATCAGTATTGGAAGATAGCTCGAGAAATACTTGTTTCACCTCTGCTGCAACTGAAAATGGTACAGGAACAACCTTCAGTGAATAAATAAAACCATAAACAAAGACGTATACGATTGTTAAAAACATCAAAGTGAAACACGTGCACAGAAAATGTAAAACTTCAGTGATGAGAAATAACTAAGCTTAAAACTATAACAAGCATGTTTTCATTATTAAGAGTAAAAAGATTTAAACTGATTTACTGAGATCAAAACTACAGCTCAGATAATAATGCAAGGTGATTAAAAATTGACTTTCTTAAAGCCATTTAAATCCTAAACTGATTTCAACTGGACAATTATTGGAAAATAAAGAGAAGTAAATAACTGTTTCCTCTTTTTATATGAAACTCTACCTGGAGCCCCCCTGGCGCTACTACCGGTCCCATGCCCGGATAAAGGAGGGTTGGGCATGAGGTAGAAAACTAAATCGCTAAAAAAACGCTAACCAGAAAAAAGCCTTTCGTATGACCTCAAAACAATAGTTAACACGAACCCACCGGCGATCGAGACCAAGACTTCAAGCTCTCCCAACTAGAAGCGTTCTGTCAGAGTTGCCGTCCAAAAAACTTACATTTAAAACCTGTTCATTAATTGTTCAGGTGAAAACCGGGTTTAAGAAATGAAAACCAGTAAATGGATACATAGACCCAATTTTCTCATACTCACTTGAAGTTGATAATGTTGGGTTTTCAAATTTCGTTCAAATGTTACCATCGCTTTACCTTGTGCAGCATACATACGTTTTAATCGGGATTTATATTCTTCAATTTCCGAACGAACATATTCTGGACAGGAAATCCAGCTTTGATGATGACCAATAGTTAAAATCAATGCATGGTCAGGTACAATAGGACCACGCGGTAATGCTACATAGGCTTGAGTACCAATACTAACAATTAAATGTTTTTTCACTTGTGGATTACCTAAACAAAACCAACAAGCTGCATGATTTCTGTTCTCTGTAACAAAAAACAAAACATCAACAATGATATTCTGAAAAGTAATAAGATTCCAATTTAATTTTAATAATCTATGGTACCTCTCCTACACTCACGTTTGTTTACGTTTGATTTTGTCAACCCCTTTAATTAACTTATTAAACCGATAGTGTTATTCGAACAGTAACAATTTGTATATCTATGCATTGTTGTTATCATATATGTATGAATATGTATGTTTGACCATATGTTACAGGTTACACATAAATCCCTCCTCTTATATATATATATATATATATATATATATATATATATATATATATATATATATATATGAATCTTGTTAATTCATTTGACTTTTAATTCGCCTATGTATACCAGGGCGATTGATATACAAGCGCGTTAATAACTTGAACAGTATTACAGAAATTCCCTCCAATTATTACAGCAAAAAGTGAGATTGTGATTAAGGAGACACTAAGTTTTGTCATTATTACGTGAAGAAAGTAAATATAAATGTATAGAGAAGAAATCTCACTTACTGTCGATTTTTTCTTGAAAACTTTCCTCACTGGTATCATTTTTATCAACAAGTTGTCTTTTGATGTCATCTGTGTCTTCAAATGTATTAGTGTTCATTTTGCGCTTTTGAGGAGTGCCTTTTTTCGTAACAGTTCCTGATTTTTCCTTGGTATTCATGTTATAAAAGTATTGCTCAGTTTGTACCTCCTAACAATTGATATAAAAACATAAAGCTAGCAATTTGGATGCAAGTATGTATACTCATGAAGCATAACTCTACTTAGTAGCCTGCAGTTGAACACTTCATGACACTTACCACGATATATATATATATATATATATATATATATATATATATATATATAACTGAAATAATCAACCCCGAGGTATAATGATCTGAGGTAGCAGTTAATCTGAAAAGATTAGGTTACACAATGACAATAATTTACTGGATTACTAATAGATAGTTCAATTTACGTAAAAAATGCCACACTTACTAACGACAATTGCAGCTGGACCGTTTATGGCTGTTCTATCTAGTGTAGATTCTGAGAAAATCCGGTTTTATGTGAACCTTGAGAGACAACCTACGAATTTATGTGGCTCATATCTCTTACTTTGAAGGAAAACGTTGCTTCAGTACAAGTTAACATTAATCTGAAATCCGACTTTCAAGAATGAACTGGTTCGCCGAATTAAACTGAATGGAGAAACGTGTTTTTTTTCACTTAACTTGTATGACCAATTATCATCACATAGCAAAAGCTGTACTAAATAAATGAAAGTATACTATGATCATATATATATACAAATTCAAATCCTAGGCAAATATTAATTTCCATGTAGTGTAAAACCTTGGTTTTTGCCCTAAACATAATAGTGTCTTTTTGACATGGATTTTAGTAACGAAGGGTAAAGGATTTCAGAATTATGTACAATCGTAAGCAGTACATAGTGAAAAATTTGAACAAGTAAAACATCTATTTTCGGGTCTAGTAGTTGACTATTTTAAAATCATATAAAAAGAGGTAAAAATAGAAACATGCTTGTTTCCCATACACTTTAACTACCATACATATCTATAAACTCGTTTAACTTACTGTTTCTCTATCTAAAGAATGTTTATGGTCAACAAATTCGCGATATGGATTTTCTGTTACGTCTGGAGGTTGATTTATTAAATCCTGATGATCCATTTTATCAATCGGGATTAACTTGAGAGCATATAAATACTAAACAAACTAGTAATATTTACATAAAAATACCTTCTGGTTACGTTCATTTTTCACATCTGCCAAGGATATAAAACGTGTAGTATGACAAGCTTTTTCTTGTAAAACACGGTGATTTCTACAGTCCAATCATAGGAACAAAACAAAAGGTTAAGAGTATCAAACTCTATATAAATAGAAGTTTAGAGCTGGAAGCGAATAAATTGCCTTGAAGGAAAAACAAGGCCATAACGATTGCACAAGAACTAATCAAACCACTTAGCTTCAAGAAACTAATGAAATAAGTGAGTTATAAAACTGCAGAAAAACAAGCGGATACAGAGGAACAGTCGCAATGTGTAGTCTCAAATGAGAGAAACCAAACCAGTGAAGAACTCCATCGTTTTATATACATGCCACAGAATGATTGACAAAGCTAAACTATAATGGTGAGCCCATGATCAAAGTGAAAAATCGCATCAAGGAGACGGTGTATGTGTCAAAACAGCATCTCGTCTACCGAAAATAGAATAGAGGGTCATACAGGTGAATTGTCGGTCACTGGCTATATTGTTTTACTTCGAAAAAATATTTGGACCAATTTTATTGACGAAAGCATCACTACATACTTTAGAATTCAACGTCAGAGTCAATACTTTGGCTTGGGATTTAAGGTTATGGTTCAGAATCGGGATTAAGTTATACAGCTGGTTTATCAATAATCTAAACCTTAACTCCAACCGTCAATAATAAACTTCATACCCTTATCCTTGCAGTGAATCTTACATTCAGCATCCTAAACTTAAATCCTAGTCCTAGAGTTACAAATCATTTGTTTATATTTGTTGTCTTTTGATAGGATGGACAAGTTTAATATGTTCAGCCTATCTAAAGAGTGAGTACAGCTTGGCCTTATTGTTCAGCTTTAGCTATTGAGTAACTACAAACGTAGCTACTAATGTTATTGTACATACTGCAAGCTAACAGATGTTTTGCCGACCTTTTATGAATTTATATTCAGCTAGCAATTACTTCACAGATAGATTTGCTAGAATCCAAGTTACAGTTGAATCGAATAAATGCGTACTTGAAAACGGTAACACCCCGACAACAACTAGGAACTATATCTAACTTGCCTACAGTTAGAATAGTTGGCCATGGTGGCACCCAAGGGGGAAGTTGACAGTTGATAGTCGAGGTAGGAGGGATAGTAGGGACTGAAGAGGGAAATCGATTATGTATACGGTGGTCTTGAGTGCTGCTAAAGCTATGAGGGCGGTTTCCACACTATGGTTGCCCACACTGTGGACGGATTTTTCTAGAGGTGTCTGAAAGGGAAATTGGGTTGGAGTTGGTCATAGTGACCTGAAAGTGTAAACACAGTGCCCAAGGGACAACTGCTTAAAGCCAGTCACACGACCTCCGTACTTGCTGAGATCTTACCACCGGAGACGGAAATCTGTAGGATAAGGTGAGGTGTGTATTTTTAGGGTCGACCTTTCCTAACCCCAACCTTACTTTGTGGGAAGGCGGCATCGCTGTTATGCTGGTTGCCTGAAGAAAACACCTTACTGCCGTCACACCTCTGTACAGTCATCAGTGCGGTTTTGCCCACGGACCTTGCATTTGGTGATTCTAGTCCTACAGCTTTTTAACCGATCTGCCTGGCATGGTAGGACCTTGAGGAACGACTGTTCCAGACAGTATAGCCCGAATAATTCATCACAACAGGCATGTCCGTCCACCACCTCAAGGTAGCAGCAACGGTCAAAGTTTGCCCACACACAATTTAACCAGTCACACTGTGTTCTATTTAGTGTCAAACACACTACGTGTTTGGACAATATCACCAAACAATTAAAGAAACGATAGTTCCGCGATACTTTGTCTAGACACTTAAGATCTTGACTCGTGAAAGGAGGAAACGAGGTTGTACGGTGAAACAATAATTTGTGGACGAGCTTTGAGCGGCGCTAAAGTGACCTTGAGTGTCCACCCGATAACTACGACTAAATGAATTATAAACCTGTGTGAAGAATTAAAATTATGATTTACAGTTAGAAATTAGACTTAATGTTTTCATCACGAACTAACATCGACTATAGTGCCAAAACTTTATTTATCCAAATGGACGAGTGAATTTTGCGCCAAAATCCGTGACATGTTATCTTATACGTGACTGGTTCGTCCATAAATTATAGTCTCGCCGGTTGTACTCTCAAGTAAGGTACATAAAAAGCTTGAAAATAATGTATTACCTGTATGGTGACCTTTCGTAATACACCCCGTTACCACATGAAAAATGGTATCTTGGTCGAGTAAGATAAGCCAATCGCGATATTAGAATCGAGGAGGAGTCAATACATTGCTGGCAACCGTCAGGGAGTTCACACAGAGTTAGCTTATTAACATGTTTCGGCCACTGACAAGTGAGCAAGAGATCAACACCCAAAAAGCCATTATCTTCTGCTGCAAGAGCCTCAGTGAGTAAACTGGATGGTAGGTTACAGTTATCAGAATTAGGTTCCCACTCAGCCATGTATACTACACGTAAGCCACTCATAGTCGTATATGTGCCCTTAGAGCCTATCAACGATTAGTACGAAATAATTAAATTTACCCAGATACGTCAGGTTATTGCAAAGCTCGCAACCAGATTCCATTTGACAATACTTTCGGGTGATTTCTGTGTATGGGGACACGATATAAGTAGGTAAAGAGGCTAAAAATAAAAAAAATTAAGAAGGTACCTGCCAAACTTCCATCGATCAATCTTTTTATCTCACTAGTTTCGGTTCCAAAAAAGTCTCCTAAACAAAACATCATCTTCATTTATGAAAGCGTTTGGGAAGAACCTACATCAAACTGTCCAGCGACGTTCATAACCTTAGAAACCCTTGAGTATAGTGCACTGACTCTCCCTTTGACATCTCCACAGATAAGGCTATTCAACGAAATGATTTTTAACTATAACATACATTTTATGGGACAGACCATCCGGCATCACCTTGAAGTTTGTTAGTTGCGCATTATTTCGACCTAGTTAAAATGCATTTACCTAAAGAGAACTTTGCTAACGATTTTTACAATAGCGTTATAAAATCCTTTCAAGCTACAACATTAGAATTTTGACCCAGATTGTTGTTCAATAACACCATTACATTTCTGTTTCGTGTCACGCCGTCGGTATCACATATGCAGAGGAAATTTTTCTAGTCAAGTGAACGCACTCGTGGTTTGCATCTTATAAGGAGATTTTAGGTAGCATTCGAATTCATAACATTTGTTATCGATTTTTTAATTTAATATACGGTTCTCCCTAGAATAGAGTCTTTGATGGTCACACGGCTCACTCGAGTGAAGGACTTTAACCACCAAAACCACCCGAAGCTGCTTCGTGTTACACTTAAGAATGCCTCCGACGTAGAGGACGTCCTACTAGCCAGTCACTTACTGAAATTCTATGGGAACGTAAGAATACTGCCCGACATACCGTTGAGTAAATTCTATTGTTTTGATCGTTATTAACGTATCAAGACTACTGTTTTATACTTTGATTGAATTTCTTTCAGTTGAAGTATTCGACTAGAGTATCATTTTTGGTATCGTAAATAGTTTTATCGTCGGTACTCCAGAGTACCTTGTTTTTCTATTGTATCTGTTAGTACTTTGGTCCTAACTATTTATAGTTTTTATTACTTTTGGTCAAAACTCACTTTCTCATCCTGAAATGACTGGAAGATGCAACAAAAGCATTTGCCACCGCCCAGGATGTCGATATCCCGTTGACAGCGGCATGCAGTGCGATGAGTGCAAAGGTTGGTACCACAAAGTTTGCACAAATCTAACGCCTGCAGCTTTCAAGCGGTTCAGTAAAAATGGGTGTGTATGGCTATGTCAACAGTGCTGTTTGGATGCAAATAGCCTGTTAACCGAGGCCATTTCAATGGTAAATGCCGCAAAAAAGTGTCTCGGCAAGCGCGGTCGGGATACATCAGTCAGAACTCAATCTGTCGACACGCAGATTGACACAAGCCAGGCCCAAGTGAGTCCCAAAACTGCCGACCCACACTCTACTAAGGAGGAAGAACATCCTCCAAAGAGGACTGTCACAACCAGAAACTCGCGCAAAAAAGTCTCCTCTGTCCCTCGTATCAAAAATGGTACCCAGAAGGGAACTTCCGGCACCCGAAATCGCAAGGCTCGATCGGTTTCCAGCGCGAAAGATGACCCAACCTCCCAAGTCGTCCTGAATCTTCCGGAATCCCACAGTACGCCTGACGCGAATGTGGTTACAACTCCAAAGAACGTTGGCGATTGGGTACGGGTCGTAAGAAAAAAACGCCAAAATGACGTAAAAGGAAATCATACCCCCACCAAAAGGGTCGACAAGCCGAGGTCTGATCACAGTGACAGATCAGTCGTTCTCCATGGAGTCAAGGAGAGTGACAACTTAGAACCGAAAGCTCGTTTTGAGCATGACATTGTGTTGATAAAACAACTACTCAACCAAGCTATGCCCAAAAACATCCCCGGAGTCACCTTGCTAAAGGTGTATAGACTATGAAATCTAGCGCATCTGAAACCAAATCAGTCTAGATTACTCAAAGTCGTTTTCAAATCCCCAAACGAACTCGACTTAATCTTAGAAAATGGACACAAATTAAAGGGTTTAGGAGTTTTTCTCCGTAAGGACTTACCGTTGGCGGACCGTGTTAAAAGACGGGAAGCCGAAAAGGAACTACAGCTCAGATTAGACGGTGGCGAAAAAGACCTGAAAATTGTAAATTTTCGGGTTGTGAGGCTTCGACAGAGGATGATGCCGAAGCCACTCTGGGTGAAACACGAGGCCACCTAAATAGGCTTCGGATCTGTTATACCAACGCCCGGAGCTTACTAAATAAGCTACCGGAACTAGGTGTACAGATTGACTCAACTAAGCTAGACATAATCGCAGTCACAGAAACATGGCTGACGCCGTCTATAGATAGTAGGGAACTTGATTTCGAGGGTTTTACATTGGTAAGGGCCGACAGAATACAAACGCGTAAAGGAGGGGGAGTAGCTCTATTCATTAGGAATGCTATTCCATTCGCCATTATCGACAGTGTATCCCATGAGAGTGGGATGTATGAATTAGTTTGCTGCCGCCTGAAATGCAGGGGACAAGAGTTGTTACTTAGTTTGATCTATCGCAGTCCAAGCTGTGAGGCGAACGAGGTCCTGCTAAGCAGTCTCAACACTTTATCACGAAGTGATCGATGTCTAATCCTAGGGGACTTTAATGCACCAATGGTGGACTGGGGAAATCTGCTGACTGAATCGTCAGCGAATTTCTTCGAACAGGAACTAGTTGATGCGGTAATTACATGTGCCCTAATGCAACACGTGAAGGAAGCAACTAGGTACGACCCGGGTTTTGCATCATCCTTAGAAGATCTTATATTGACTCATTATGAGGATGACGTTGAAAACCTGGATTACATGCCACCCCTAGGCAAAAGTGATCATGCAGTTTTAAGCTTTGACTTCCATATAACTGTCGATCACGAGCACGCCTCAGCTCAATCCAGACCTAACGTCTGGAAAGCAAACATACCAGACATCATGAAATCAGCATCATTAGTAGATTGGAAATTAGACCCAGAGTCATCAATCGAAACGGCTTGGGACGTATTCCGTAATTTATACTTAAAAGTTACCGCCCCCCACATCTCTTGGACAACACCTAAGAGACCGAGAAACTCCCCACCGTGGTTCAGTAGGGAGGTTCGCATCCTTCTCCGTACAAGAAAAAAAAGTGGAATAGATTTAGGTTACTGAGGACTGACGAGGCAAAATCTCAGTATCAAAAGGCTCGAAATACCTGTGCCTCGACCCTCCGTAAGGCCTGAAAGCTGTACGAAGAGAAAATCGTTAGGGAATCCATAGAATGCCCTAAACGCTTGTATTCGTATATAAATCAAAGGACAAAAAGAAGAAATGTTCCTTCACTATGGGGAGACAGTACTGCCTCATCACTAGTGGAGGATGACTTTGGCAAAGCTCAAGTATTCTCTAAATACTTTAGCGATGTATACACCATAGAAATACCCTTCTCACTAGTCCATAAAATCCACCCACACAAGCACTGGACAGCGTGACCGTTAAAGAACTCGATGTCTTTGGTCTGCTAGTTAAGCTTGACATAGGTAAATCCACTGGACCCGATGAACTGCATCCTAGGTTATTAAATGAATTAGCTAACTTTGTTGCGAACCCTTTAAGTGTATGTTTCGATCTATCCGTAACCCAGGGTCGTCTACCAAAAGACTGGAAGAACGCCATAGTAAGTTCAGTCTTCAAAACAGGTACAAAACATAAGCCTGAGAATTACCGACCAATTAGCCTAACTAGTGTGGTTGTTAAAATCTTAGAAAAGATTATTCGGAAGGAGCTGTTAAATTATCTCGATGAAAACCGGATCCTCTCCGAAAAGCAGCATGGTTTTAGAACAGGTTACTCTTGTCTCACAAACTTATTAGTCGCTCGTGAAAGCTCGTGCGCTCTTAAGGACCAAAAGTTACCTATAGACGTAGCTTACATCGATTTCAGCAAAGCCTTCGACAAATTCTGTATAACCGGCTGTTACATAAGCTAAGGAATGTCGGGATTGGAGGCAATCTATTGATGTGGATAAAAGACTTCCAAGTTGAGAGTCAACAAAGAGTAAGGGTGAACTCCAAGTTGTCTAGCTGGGAAACTGTGCTTAGTGGAGCCCCCCAGGGTACAGTTTTGGGGCCATTGTTATTCCTCCTGTACGTAAATGACCTCCCTCATCTACTATCGCCATCGGTCTTACTCTATGCTGATGATGTCAAGATATGGAGAGCGATACGAAGCAAGGGCGATAGCTTAGAACTTCAAAATGACCTGGAGAGATTATCTGAATGGTCCCAAACCTGACAATTGCCGATAAACACTTCCAAGTGTATTGTGATGCATATTGGCCATCAGGGTACAGATACATACACGATGAATAACACTGAGTTACCTATTGTCCAGGCACACAATGACTTAGGCGTCATCGTCAGTCAAGACTTAAAGACTACTGCACACTGCCGTGCAATAGCCGCCAAAGGTTTTAGGACTTTATGGTCCATACGCAGGGCTTTTAGGCATCTTGACGCTAAAACGTTTTTGACTTTGTATACAGTGTTCGTACGCCCTAAATTTGAGTACTGTATACAAGCAGCTAACCACTGCCTAAAAAAAGACAGTGAACTCTTGGAAAGGGTTCAGAGAACAGCAACTAGGCTGATTCCCGGAATAGCGAAGCTCCCGTATGGTACTAGACTGACCAAGTTAAACCTATTCCCGCTGTCATATAGAAGAATCAGAGGCGACTTGATTAGTTTTCAAATTGCTTAATGACAAATTTGCACCTGGTATGCCCTCATTTTTCTTGTCTTCCAAAACAGAAAATCTACGAGGACACTCCAAACAAGTTCACAAGCCCAGAACGAATTACTTGTCAGTTGACTACCGACTTTCCCATCGAATAATCAACGAGTGGAATTCATTACCTCAGCAAGTGGTTGAGGCTCCATCCGTCGACTCCTTCAAAAGGAAGTTGTATCAGCTGAGAGACCATCATTGCCAGGACTAACACAGGCCATCAAGCCTCCTGTCCTTTCCAAACTGAAACTGAAACTGTATTCTGAACGAAATCTCATCCGGAACTTCCCTAAGGAATCTTGCGAGGCGTTTTTCCGTGGAAAACATATCATTGTGCAAGGTTTACCGGAAAATATGAACCAAACTCAAGCAAACTCTGATATTCGGGAATGAAAATTCTTTAATCATTCCTTAAAACTCAAAAACATACTGACCCAAAAGGTGATGCGACTAGCCAAGAGAGATGGAGACTCTAGACCCCGGCTATTGAAGATAACCTTCCCCTCCTCCCACATAGCGGCTGCAACTCTGGAAGCATATCATGCCAACAGCTGTTGGTTGCCAACTGGCATCCATATGCATCCGGATAGACCCCACGACAGCAGGATCAAGCACAAGCGAAAGCTGGAGCTGACAATTCCACCTGTGGACTGTCTTGATCATAAAAATAACGTGTAAACGACAGTGACTACCAACTCGGTAAACATTGTATAGGTAGGCTACCTGTACTTCAATCTTCCTAGAATCAATTTCGTGGAAAATACATACATTGGAGATGACAACTCTACTGAAGCTCTGTTCTTCAACCTCATCAGTGACCTAGGATTATTCGAACATCTGAAGTCGGCAATTCGTTCGAGAAACAGTCAGACGCCGTCGCGCTTAGACTGGGTATTCACAAATGAAGAATTCCTAGTTGACGACCTCTCAATCCAGGCTCCTCTGGAGAAAAGTGATCACGCCGTCCTATCCTTCAGCTTTGTCAGCAAAACGGAGATAAGATATCCTACTAGCAACAGGCTTTAGAATCTCAAAAGGTTGAATGTGTTAGCTTTACAAGACTATCTGCAACAGGTAGATTGAGATGTTCACCCTCAACTTGAAGTGGATGCTCATTGGGACTTTTTACTGAACACGATCTTATGTGCTACTGAGCATTCAGTTCCTAAAATGGTCCCAAAAAGTTACAAACAACCTCCAATCATCAAGAACCGCACTCGTCGTTTGCTAAGCCACAAAAAGCACTGTTGGGCCGAATATACACGAACCAACAATAACAACGAAAACAGGCAATACAAACACATAAGAAACATATGTTCAAAGGCAATAAGAGAAGACAGGCTTCAGTACCAGACCAAGCTTATCGATAAATTCGTCTCCAATCCGAAAAACTTATTCAGTTACGCAGCTTCTCTTCGACAAGGCAAAACTGAAGTGTCCTAACTTCTAGGTTCTAATGGCCCGACCAATAACGACGGTGATGCAGCTAAACTTTTGGCTGAACAATACTCTCCGACATTCCAGCCGACCCACATAAACTATACTGACGAAAGCCTCACCTGCACCTGTACAGGACTTTCCGAAGTGGACCTGAGTGACGATCTGGTGCTCCGTAAACTGTAGCACCTAAGAAAAGACACTTCTCCTGGTTCGGATATGGTTCAGTCTGCTGTATTGAGGGAAGCAGCTTCAATCTTGGCATCACCACAAAGCGTGATGTTTACACACTCGCTAAGCAGAGGCAAAATACCGGAAAGTTGGAAGCTGGATCACATCACACCAATTTTCAAAGGAGGTCGACGCAGTGAATCCTCAAGCTACCGACCAGTGGCTCTTCTATCCATACCTTCTAAAATTATGGAGTCTCAAATATACGACGATATGCAAGAATACTTATTATCCTTAAAGTTCTTCTCACCTCATCAGCATGGTTTCAGAAAGGGTCATTCTTGTATGACCAGCCTGCTGACTGTGGTGGATAGATGGACAACCATCCTTGATCGCAAGGGGATGCTTGACGTCATTTACCTGGATTTCTCAAAGCTTTTGATAGGGTCAACCATGTATGTCTTATCAATAAGCTTAGACGATTGGGTATAAAACCTCCTTTGATTGATTGGCTCTCTTCATATTTAGAAAACCGACACTTTAAGGTCAGGGTTAACTTCACTCTCTCTCAGGCTATGAAATGTCCTAGTGGGGTCCCCCAGGGCCCAATACTAGGACCTCTTCTCTTCTTGATTTACATTAACGATCTTCCTCAACAAGTTTCATCTGACTTATTGCTTTTTGCTGATGATGTGTATTTGCCCTAATTTCAATAGTGTTTTACATCTGTCGCCGGGCGTCACTATTCTCTAGTAATTAATTTGGATCCGTCCTAATAATTGTTTCTTCTTCTAACATCATTTCTCAGTGCCGAGTTAAAATCTTAAGTCAGTCAGTGTCTAGGTAGTCTGTGTATAGGACTTCAAAGTCCTGTTCTGATATCCAGAGAAAAATGTAGGACAAGTTTTAGCTTCTCCGGTAAATTGAGAATAATCATTGCCTAATACTCCGAGATACGGTAGGAAAAAAACTCTGCTTTTCTGCTCCTGCATACTGAAGACCATTGAGATAGTTTCAAATTGCGTTAAAGCTACGCTATTCAATACGCTTCAAAGATCGATGCTTCATGTAAAACGTCTAATCGAGAAAGTTATGAAGGCAATCAAATACCCATGACTTAACTTATAACCTTAAATTCATGCTTTGTCTAAAATCTGGTTCGAAATCAGTCCAAAACTAATCAGTATATAGAAAAGCTGGTGCTTGTTGTACCAATGCAACTGAAGATATCATTCCTAATGAATTGTTTACTTATAGAACACATGTGAGTGCACTACTGCGGGCTTGAGTTAGGTAACCCCTAAACATTCAAGGAACCCTAAATTCCGCTCGCCATCGACAGATCAAGGTGCAGCTTTTTTAAAATGCCGCTGCTTACTATTAACGACTGAGGCTGTCCGATTAATTCGAGTGATTCCAAATCAACCCAGCTAACAGTATTTTGGTTTCCTATCTTCATCTTCCAGAACAGGGATGACTATCTACTAAACTGATGTCGCTGTTGCGTTGTTGTTCTCTTTGTAGTTAATTGTCACGTCAATACTGATTCCGAAAGCAATGTAATGACGATGAGTATTATTAAATTTTATTATATTTGAAGATACAGAGTACCTCAAGATTGATAACTGAGAACTTTGTAGTCAAAATTTCATGTAGTACAAAATAATGCGCCATACAGCAAATAGAAATAAATGCTGTTATCTCATACTCGAAAATCAACAGAAATATTCCTAAAAAATGTGATCATGATTCCGTTTAAAAGGTTCGAGTCAAATAATAAAGGTTTCTTGCAGATAGTTAGAAAGCAACATTACGGTCAAATAAGGACTTGTTAAAGACCCTTGGTCACACAATGACAAGAGGGGAGCTTCTGATCGCGATCCAATTAACTCAGATTGAAGTTTATTTTTTTCTCATCGATTGGTCAATGTCTGGAACACCTTATTCGAGCAAGTAGTATCAGCCTCATCAGTTAACATTTCCAAGGAGAAGCTGGACCTTCATTGGAAAACAAAGTGGAAAGGCTGACACAGGTTCACAAACTTACTATCCTTATTATTGAACACTGAGAACAGTCAGACCAAAAGTCAGAAGTGATGGGGCTCGAAGACATATTTGGCACCCCACAGCTATGTGGAGAAGCTTTCGATTTAAGCTGGCTACTAGTTTCAAGGTGTAGATGGCGTCGAGTATTGATTGTTTATGATCACCACTACAATGAGGTTAAGCGTCCAAAATCAACTTGGCTCATAAACCAGAAGGTTGTCACTAATCCAGATAAAGTATTTTTATTGGCGATCTCGTGGTATCGAAAAAATAGCGAGAAGTGCCAACGAGTACATGCAATAAGGGCAGAACGTAAGAAACTTCGAGCGAACAAGATGGACACCCGAACGAAAAGTAATTTTGATGCTGTTAAACAAAACGAGTACAGTAGAACAATTACTAGTACAATAGGTTGTTGTTTCCATTTCTCCAATCTTGTTTTCGTCAAGAAAAACAAGTCACTACAAAATATGCCTAGCATGGAGAATCCAAACGCAATCTGGCGCATATGACTGGTAGGGGACCTCCGCCCAGGGATGTATACGGGTAGAATGAAGAGGTCAACAGTGATGCCGATGACTTAGCAGAGTACTTATTCCGTGGGTTTATTTACCGCTACACATCAAATCTTTCATAATTTTCCCCACCATAACTGACAATGGGTAATTTTCAGTTATAAATTACGCTGAAAAGGACATCCACTCGGGATAAAACGCGAAAACGTTCGCCCCAAAAGCATTTCCTTACTATAAGTACGAAAGTTATGAGGCCTTCTGCCAGTAGCTATTGGTATGATACCTTTTGTATCATTCAAAAGACTTAGGCTCTCTAGATATTGAAGCACATCACTCTTTTTGTTACTCATCATACCCCCCCCACATAAACAAGGCAGCTCTCCTACTACTCAAACACTAGTATCTGAGTTCAATTCACTAGACCACATAAGTAGGGTTCAACATTTGAAGTCAAGGTCAACGGTTGGAATTGTGAGTTACTAAGATAGTCAGTTGCGTTCATTTCATTTTTTTGACATGTTGAAAAAGTGGAAGATTAGGTCTGCTCATCCGACCAAATCAGAAGCTGAACTCATATCGTGTTGATATTTGTTTATGTGCAGCCTGTAAGGAGCTTGAAAGCATATGCTCCCAAGCAAATAAATATTCAAATATTTCAAGCAAAACAATCGTCTTGTTTTTTCAGCTTCGAGTAGCAGCGAAAAGTGAAAAATTATTTACTGTTTCTCTTTAAACTTTTTCACTTTTACGTGCCAACCTGCAATTGGAGATTGTGGTTGCTACTCTCAAACTGCTTCCCAAAAAACTTACGTACAAATTTTCTTCCACTAGCGTTCTATCTGTGTTCTGACAAGCATTTAAAAGTAGTAGATATCTTCCAACCTTAAGTTAAAAGTTTTGATGGTCCCGGCTTTTTAAATTACAGAACAAAAGTGCTATATCAAGAAATACTCAAATAACAGGTCATCACATTTCAGTAGTATAGGAAGTGATCTCTACAGTCTCTCTTTATTCGGTAAAAAATTATCGCAGCATACTGCGTCGAGACTAAACTACATGGACGATCTTTGAACGAATCTTAGATGACCTTGAGAAATGTTAGCCAATCAGGAGACAGTATACAGTAAAAATAAATTTTACAAAACTCAAGAATTAAAGATGATACTGTTCTTTTACATGACTCAAAAACTTATCAAGGTCAGATATAGGTTCCGAAGTTCTAAAATCATAGTGCATCTGGTACGGGAACTCATCCATGTGGTTCCATAGTAGTCGACCTCTGGAACCATGATAAGGTCTCAAAAATTCTTTTAGCCTCGACCACATTGCTTCATTGTTGTTGGTATGTTGGTATGGTTTTGGGTTTAGGGTTAGAGTTAAGGTTTAGGGTTAAGGGTGAGACTATAAATTATGGACGACCTATGAGCGTTGCTAGGGTGACTCAGAGTGTCAACATAATAACTAAGACTAAATAAGGTTATAAACCTGTGTGAAGAATTCAAATTATTATTTACAGCTCATGGTTAAGGTTAGAAATTATACTTAGGGTTTTCATCACGAACTGACATCAGCTATAATGCCAAAACTCTATTTATACAAATGGATAATTGAATTTCACGCCAAAATTTTATGACCACTTCTCTTGTAGACGCTGAATTATCACGTCTTCTCTAAAATCCGTTGTAAATCGACCGTACATAAGCATCAGGTACCGAACTTAGCGCTGTGTCCTTGAAAACCCGCGAAAGCCGATTGGCTCGTCCATAAAGTTTAGTCTCGCCCATACTGCTTCAGTGGTATACCGCCGATGCAGCTATGGGTATATTGGTCTCTTATCTACTAGACGGGATTACCAGTCAGTATTTATTCGTCATGTTTAATTCTTCAGTGCCGCAGAAACTCCGTATTCGATAGTAAGGCTTGCCTGATTTAATACGGGGTCTGTGTATCCGGAGCTAAAACATTTAATACAAGAAGTTGTCGCTTTGTGTTAGGATTGTTCACACTAGTTACAGAGGACAAGGAAGACCATTTAAAAAAATCGGTAGTGAAAAAGGTAGAACTTAGTTCTAAAGTGAAGTAAAACGATCCGACATGCCGTGGCAACCAGCACCACTGGACGCTACTTTTCAATGTGTAGCCTCACTGCGGTCATCCGGCAAGTTATCAGAACTCAGTATTTACTAGTGGCGAAAAGTTAGCCAAGTCTGAAACTTCGTTTATTTCGTGTAGCTTTATCTTTTGGATCAGTGTTATACATCGGTGTGTTAATTAATTTAAAGTTTTTAGTTTTTTTCTAGCAAAATATCTCATATCATTATCCGTTTGTGTTACATAACGTGACTTATGGTCGATTGGTGACAAAAATGTGGTTTCTTTCAAACCACTACATGATCGCTATCACTTTCATACTTCGGTATTCATGCAGCCACTTCTAAATTTTACCATTGATATCACTTCAAGTTGTATGATATTATTTATTTATTGCACCTATTTGAGAACATACGAGTGTACTAGAGCTTAGACGTAATAATAGTCTAAGTAAGACAACGTTTCCTAACAGTAGTCCGTATATATAACTGACGTTTTATCAGAGGTCACTCAGTCATGATTATCTTCGATTTTGGCTGAAGTCGCTACTAGAGAGGAACAGGCAATCGCCAGAAGATTTGTGGCAAACGATCAGAGTTATCAGCTCACCAACTTGACTTTCATATTTAAAATTAACTTTCAGCTGAAAATTAGCAGAAGCAATCATGTTGAGTAATATTATCCTTCTATTTTTGGCTTCTAAAGTGCGACAAATTTTGCACGTTCACTACAAAATGAGCCAAAAATACAATCACGAAAAGAATTTGCCTAACAGAAGAGAAATTTCTTGTGAGTGGGATGACAGTGTTGCAGATGCTAAATCTTTCAGTCAAAACAGTCCTCGTGATAAATTTGTAAAAGATAGCAGTCATCAAAGTGACTTCTCAAAAAGTTACAAGGAATCCGTTTTCTCTGGTAACTGGTCAGTAACGAATCGCGTCTCATCAAACGGACATGAAACTTGTGATGATTTGGATGATAGTAACGTTGAAGGTCTTGTGAGTGATGATGACAATGATTTCGATGAGGATGATGATGAAGAGGATGAAGACTGGGTTGCTTCCGATTATGAGAAAAAAGTAAGTTAATTTTGGTTATTTATACTTGAAACCCCATTATTTTTACATCATAGATTTGATCTTAAATGTACAAAGCAGGTCGAAGGAAAATTCCTTCTTTTGTGACAGTAATAAGATGTAGTTGTACAGTATGATATGCTAGTCCTTTCTAAGGTGTTCAAATATACTTGTTTGAGACGCAGATATAATCAATTCGTCATATTTCACACGACATCACGAAGGAAAATTGACCTGAAGAGGAACAACGAGATGAGAATATCATTTCAGTGAAAAACCGCTTTAGTTAGTTAATCTGGTGTCCGGATTTTGCAAAGTTATTTACGTAGGTTGCTTATCGAGTTTTATTTGCTCACGTTTTAGCATATACCTTCTAGTATGGTTCAGTAAGCATAGCGCCCAGATGCCCTGGTACAACCGAAGGTGGGCAGAGTCCACTCTCCCTCTCGAAAATCTCTCACATGGCTACGTGCATACAATCACTTTCAGAGTAGTCCTACTCACTTCCTCATTGTGGCGGGAGTGTCGTTTATTTATTTTTTATTTAAACACATAAATATTGGTACAAGAAAGCACCATATACATATGCGCCATACAAATCTCATTCGATTTGTGTGAGGGCTGTGATACTACTCAGTTGCCCAAACTGAAGCAGGTGGTTTTCTGAGGGGCCCACACCCGGAGCCTTTGACTGAAAGATCTGATCCACAGGGCAGTGGAGCATCGTGAGGAGATGCAGTTCCATGTTAGCCGGTGACCAACGATTGATTCGTACGCCATTTGTTCCATCAGGATACTGGAGCCCATGTGCACCATTGGTTTGGAATCAGGGTTTTCCAACTCCCCTAGGTTGACTTTCCGTGTCCACCAACCCGGTTAAAGCGCCGGACATTCACTTTTCGTCTTCTCAATTTCGTAAAAAACAACCCCGCCACGAGAAGGCACTGAGTAGGACTTCCCTGACAGAGGCTATATATTCGCTTGAGAGCATTCGGAGAGGGAGAGCGGACTCTTCCCACTCTCGGCCGTACCAGGGCATTTGGGGGCGTTTACGAAACTGAGAAGACGGAAAGCGAATGTTCGGCGCTCTTACGGTGTTAGTGGACACGGAGGATCCATCTAGGGGAGTTGAAAAACCCTGATTCCAATCTAGTGGTGCACATGGGTTCCAGGATCCTGATGCGACAAACGGTGCATAAACCAGTTGTTAGTTACCGGCTACCATGAGACTGCATCTCCCGACGTTTCTCCACTGCATTATGGATCAGACCTTTAGATCAAAGGCTCTGGGTGTGGCCCCCTAAGAAAACCACGTGCTTCGGTTTGGGCACCCGGGCAATATCACAGCCCACACACAAATCAAGTGACTTGTGTGACGCATATGTATTTGGTTCTCCTTTGTACCCATATTTATTTGTTCAAATAAATGACTAGTATTTTGTAACATGTTTCACTGTAACAGTCTGTCATTAGAATTAAACCCAACCTATCAATAGTTGAACGTTCATATTTGTTTTGGATTGAAGGAAAGTTAGCGATAATCAATATAACGATATCTGACACAAAAATGTATTGGGTAAATTTTAACTAGAAAATGTACGTCCTCCCCATTTTGCAAAAAACTTGTGCGTGATATGCTCAACTGTATTCATTACTTACTTACGCCTGTTACTCCCAATCGAGGCACCATTAAATCAAAATTCTACAGTTACGTTTCCTTATTTCTTTTATTGATGTACACAACATAGTTTTTTTTATCTCCTATTAAAATCAAAGGTAACCATGTTTTGTCGTCGGAAAATTTTCTGATACTTAATGTCGAAGCTGTTTATTTTAAATTACTATGGTTTCCTATTTAATCATAACGATTTATTAACCCTAAAGTTTATATGCAGTTAGCTACAATTAAGAGATTTGACTGTAATTGAGTTGTCATGATTAATAAGTAATTATTTCATCCTACTCCATCATCAATTCTATCATCTATAAATCTCCATCTGATTTTTGATGGTGGACTAGTCAATTATCCTCTGTCAATTGTGTAGTTTCAGCATTGTATGTCTACAAAAAATGAAGGACTTGAACATCTAATCAATTATGTCGTGCAACTCTCACCAGTATTTATTATATTATATTTAAACACATGATTATTAGTACAAGGGGGCACCAGATATATATGCGCCACACAAAACAATGAGAATGGGAAGAGAAAAGGGGTAAGACGCATATATATATATATATATATATATATATATATATATATATATATATAATGATGGGGAAACTTAAATGTACAACCAGAAGATCTCTTTCGGTTAAGGAAGTAGCCTAAATCATCTTTTAAGAAAATTATTTTTTACAATAATCCAAGTGATCAATTTTTTGTATTAGATAAGAAAACATTAGGTTTTTCGAAGCTGTCCTAATTTTGTGGATATTAATAAGAACTGAAGTTTTTTAGGATTAACTGAAGTTAACTGGATAATTTCAATGTAATCTACTGTTTAGAAGTATAGAGCATTATTTATTGAAACGGTCGAGATATTTAAGCGAGAATAAATAGGGATTATCAGTGGAATCCAGGACTCGCGTTTCGTCCCATTTGGGACTCGTCAGCTGAATTTGCCTGCATCCCAGAGTTGACGTTTACTCCGGGACTCGAACCCATTGCTATTCACTTCAAACGCCATCGTGTTATTCACTCAGCTACTGAGTCCTGATAGCCACTTGCTTGTTCAATGGGGTGAAGTTTAAATTCACATAGTGTTGTTTGCTTGTATCTTTTCATTGTTGTTTAGGACTGCAACTGATCAGTCTCTTGTTGGTATATGTGCATTCTGTGCGGATTGCCTCGATATTGCCTTAATTCACAAGCATTTAAACAAAGGTGGAAAGTGGCTAGCGGAATCCAAGACGCGCGTTTCAAACATTTAAGCAATATCGAAACAGTCCGCCCAGAATGCACATATACCAACAAGAGACCGACCAATTGCAGTCCTAAACAACGATGGGAAGATACAAGCAAACAACACCATGTTAATTTAGTTCGAGATATTTGTCAATGGCTTTAGTAAACATAGATGGTTATCGCCTAGAACGTGTAATTTCCATCTTTTTACAGTTTCATGTGCTTCTTCGCAACATTACTTTTAATATTTTAGACCTTATGATTTATTTATTTGAATATAAATATTGGCACAAACGGGCACCGAATACATATGCGCCACACATGTCACTTGATTTGTGTGGACTGTGATACTGTCCGGCTGATCAGACCGAAGCGGGTGATAATTCGGACCATTGGTCTGCTAATGCAGTAAAACTAACCACTCGTATCATCGTTTCGTATACTTGAACATTATCAATTGAAACTAATTGTACTTTACTGTAACTGAAAAAGTTGTTCTCTTTTATCATCCTGATGAAAACAATTTCCCCTAGGTTTTCAATTGCGAACTTTATGTTCACCCTAAATTATCAATTTTTAGCGTTCTAGTCGCGCTTCTCGAACACAAATCACTGGTTCACGTAAAATTGGAAATAGTTGCAGTTCACATCGCAAAATTTCACATGGAGATCGTTCTCAACGTAGAATTGGCAGAAGTTTGTCAAGGACAGTTGCTCACAATCCAGGGAGTAATCGTATTGTTTCTTCTAATAAATCTTCCAAATCTGTTGGTCGACCTAGAACTGTTAATCGCTATCAATGTGGAAGTGCTAGGACTGTCCATACATCATCTGGTCGTAAGATTGCTACACGTCGAGTTGAAAAATCAAAGACAAATGATAGCAACCCACGAAAAGTATTTGATTCGCTAATACCGAACGAACTAAAAAAACCTCGACAATGTTTCGGTCCTGGATGCACTCGAACTGCAACAAGACCAGATACAAAATATTGTTCAAATGAATGTGGACTTAAACTTGCCATCAAGTTTGTAGATTATCTGTACTTTGCTTTATTTCGGAAATTTTTTTGTTTATGAATCGAATTTTTAAACTCTAATGACTTACAGATGTCTAAAAGTAATAAGACTCAAAAATCCCTTATAAAAATGTTTACTGTGTGCCCCCTTCAAATTATTACCAAGCAGTCTATAAACGCATAATTTATCGCTTATTTTATAGATCCCGGTACAATACTATTTCATAACACTTAAGGCAGTCAACCTTTAACTATTTGGTTATTGACTAAGATCATGTGAGGCTCCTCTCACGATTTCGAACGACAAACTGTTTTTACTAGTCTAACCTCAACTGTTGTAGATTGCAACATATATTACTATGAACATTAGTACAAACGCAATGGCTATATGCATTTCATTGTACTGCCTTCAAATGCCCTGGTACCGCCGAGAGTGGGAAGAGTCCGCTTTTCCTCTGAAAATGCTCTCACATGGCCACGCGTATACAGCCTCTGCCAGGGAAGTCTTATTCACTTCCTTCTTTCGGCGGGGGTGTTGTTTACGAAATTGAGCGGACGAAAAGCGAACTTTCGGCGCTCTAACCGGGTTGGTGGACACCGAAAGTCCACCTAGGGGAGTTCGAAAACCCTGATCCCAATTATTTATTTATTTATTTAAACACATACATATTGGTACAAAAGGGTACCAGATACATATGCGCCACACAAAATAATGAAAGTAGGAAGAGAAGGTATGAAAAGATAAGGCGGACTGAAATGTACAACCAGAAGACTCTTTCAGTTAGGAAAGTTAGAACCACTCTTTATGAAGAAATTAAAAGAAGGTTACATCAGGATCGCCACTGGCTTCTATTCTGAGCCATATCTGATAACGTCTCTAGCCACTGTGTTGTACCATCTTTCGGACCCCAGCCAGGGAGTCGTGAAGGACCAACAGAAGCTAGCCACTGTATGTCAGCAATCCTTCGGAGACAACGATGATCGAACACAGAGAGACGTCTAACATCCTCAACTCGGAGAGGCCAGGTTTCACAAGCATAGAGCGAAACTGCTCTCACCGACGAGTTGTAAATCCGACCTTTTACAGCCAGACTAACATCACGAAGGCGCTAAAGATGGCCCAGATTGGCATAAGCCGCTCTGACTTTCTTTATACGTGCATCAATCTCATCACTCACGCCACCACCAGCACTTATATAGCTACCTAGATACACGAACTTCTCAACTACTTCAATCTGCTCACCATCCAGGGTGAGTACAGGATGAGAATCCTGCCAGTCTTGTAGGAGTACTTTGCACTTGGAGGGTGCAAAGCACATGCCGTACCTGCGGACACTGATTGCCAACTGATTAAGTGCGGATTGCATGCCTTGGGCATTATCGCACAGTAAGACAATATCATCCGCATACTCGAGGTCGAGAAGTCGTTCTCCAGGCAACATATCCACACCGCCATTACTTACATCCATCAGAGCTGTTTCCAAGATGTCATCGATGGAAAAGTTGAAGAGGAATGGTGAGATCGGGCAACCCTGCCTAACCCCACTGCTCGAATGGAAAAAGGGAGAAAGGTGGTTGTATGCCCTCACTCTGCCTGAGGTGTTCGTATACAGGGCCTTTAAGATGTTAATGAACTTCTCAGGCACACCCTTCTTCAATAGACAATCCCAGAGAACAGTCCTGTTCAACGAATCGAAGGCAGCCCTGATATCAAGAAACACTACGATTGTTGGCCTGCGATAAGAATGACGGTGTTCTAACATTTGGCGGAGGGCGAAGATGTGATCAATGCATCCTCGACCAGAACGAAACCCAGCCTGCTCCTCGCGAGTCAATCGTTCTCGGGTTTTAAACAACCTACGAAGAATGGCAGAAGCCAATAGTTTGGACGCAATCGGAAGTGGACTTATTCCCCGATAGTTATTAAAGGAACAACGTGAACCCTTTTTAAAGATACGGACGACGATTGACTCATTCCATGATGTTGGAACACTTTCTTGCTCTCAAACCTTTGAAACAACACCGTCAGTTCCTTAGCCAGAAGGTCGCCACCATCTTTAAAAAGAGCCGCGCCCGGTGATTTGTAGCGCTTCAATAGTTGGAGTTCCTTGCGGACTTCCGCCTCGTTTGGTGGATCAATTTTCATTACATGACAGCCTTCGTTTGTGGTCAAACTCACGGTCACCCGGAGTAGACCGACGGGCTTCCATCAGTTTTAAGGAGCCAGAAGAAACCCAGTGCTTGTAAGCAGGACGTTTAGCGAAGCCGCAAGCAGCTTTACACGCCATTTTCATGGCGTCATGAAGATGCAGCCAATGCTCATCTATACTTTTCGGTGGGATTTTAGCTAGCCTAGAAGTTAGCTCCGCTCGTTACTTACTTGCAACAGAAGTTGCAGCCAGTTTACTAACATCGGCTACCTAAACGACTCTCTTCTGTGCCTAGACGCCCGACCTGAGCATTCAAGTCTCCGGCTAGTACTACACTATCTGTCGAACGCGCTTTCTGGAGAAGAACAAGAACTGTTAACTGGTGGTAAAACTCATCCTTGATTGCATCCGGGCTGCAATCTGTCGGGGCATAGGCGGAGATGACGAAAAGACACCGATTCTCACGCCGATTTCTTCTCACTTTGATGGAACTTTCTAATCTAACAGCACATAACCGACTGTTAATGGGGATGCAATCGATTAGTGCTGCCTCAACCCTAGCGCTTAGTGCAGCACCAACGCCAGCAAGACCAGATGAAGATGCCACAGGGTCCCCGGATAAGCGCACGTGAAACAAGGTTTTCGAGGCGACAGATGGGGAGCGGATTTGTAGTACTTCACTAGAGTCTTGAATACGGGTCTCGGATAGACAGCAAACATCAACATTAAGACCTTCCAAAGACATAGCCAGCCCCATCTGTTGTCCGATCTGCATTAGTGTGCGAACGTTGAAGGAAGCCAGCTTGAACGGCGTACGTGATTTCAGAAAGACTGCTTCAGTATTCGTAATCGGTGGAAGCATTCACTTTCAACCAGACAGTGACTGGAGATCGTTTAGATAGGACAGAGTTTCCACCATGGGCGAGCTACTGCATAAGTTGGAAAGGAGGGGTACACAATTTGGGAATAAAGGGAGTGAAAAAGCAACGTAGTAAGTAATAGTAATAATAATAATAGTGTAAATTGTCTTGCTTCTAGTATGATCGAGAATAGTATCGTCAATAGAATTCACCATTTCATTTATTTGTGTGTGGGCTTTGATACTGTCCGGGTGCCCAAACTGAAACAGGTGGTTTTCTTAGGGGCCACACCCGGAGCCTTTAACCTAAAAGCCTGATCCACAAGGCAGTGGAGCATCGTGAGGAGATGCAGTCCTATGGTAGCCGTTGACCAACAATAGGTTCATTCGCCATTCGTTCCATCAGGATACTGGAGCCCATGTGCACCATTGGTTTGGAATCAGGGTTTTCCAACTCCCCTAGGTGGACCCTCCATGTTCACCAACCCGGTTAAAGCGCCGGACATTCGCTTTTCGTCCTCTCACTTTCGTAAACAACAGTAATGCCACGAGAAGGCAGTGAGTAGGACTTCCCTGACAGAGGCTATATATTCGCTGGCCATATGAGAGCATTTGGAGAGGGAGAGTGGACTCTCCCCACTCTCGGCCGTACCAGGGCATTTGGGGGCAACAATATTTGATATCAGAGATGAATAGTGGCTAGCAGTGGAATCCAGGACGCGCGTTTCGTCCTACTTGGGACTCGTCTGCTGCATGTACCTGAATCTCAGAGTTGATGTTCACTCTGGGACTTGAACCCAGTACCCTCGCTTCAAACGCCATCGCGTTATTCACTCGGCCACTGAGTCCTGATCCCAAACCAATGGTACACATACGATCCAGTATCTTGTGGAAACAAATGGCGTATGAAATTGATCACCAGCTACCACGAGACTGCATCTCCTCAAGATGCTCCACTGCCTTGTGGATCAAACCTTTAGGTCACAGGCTCGAGGTGTGGTCCTCTAAGAAAACCACCAGCTTTAGCTTGGGCACCTGGGCAATATCACAGTTCTCACGCAAATCATGTGAGATTTATGTGGCACATATCTATCTGATGCCCCTTTGTACAAATATTTATGTGTTTAAATAAATAAAATAAATTTCATTGTACTAGGCGTTATTTATGGCATAAAAGCTGAACACACATACAGTACCTAGGTCGAATATGAAACTCATTTTTCAGATTTAACGATCTATCCATGGGTGGAAATTCGTAAAATAAACATCTGTTGTGGCATCTAAGTCATTTACTTGATTAGCAATACCTCATTATATATTACCTGTCCAACAAGTACGCGAATTGGTCTAGTAATGGTGTCAGTTACGGACGATTATCGAGTTCCTGTTTCGATAAAAATGTCAAACTTGTGTAGCCCTACATGCTTTCCGGTCGTTTGTTCACTGCCTGAGCGATTACTGATGAGTTGAGTTCAGATAAGTCGTTCGCACACACGATTCTAGTTGTACATTCAAGACTGGAAATTTCTGTGTAAAACTTTTGCTAAAGTTGCTGATAGCTAACCAACAGTTGAGAACTTAATCCCTTACAACATGCGAATGATGTGTATATGATTGCACGTAAAAATAGCGAGCATGACTTTCACTGACATTTTGGTCAAAGAAAACAGAAATGAAATAATTTTGAATAAATTGAGCATTGGGTAGATTGTTATAACTAAATTAATATATTTGTAATATTCCAATGAGTAGAAAAAATTAGATTTGCTGACGTTTCGTGACTCAGTGTAAGCCACTTCTTCAGAGAATAAAAGTTTACTTAGAAACGAGATAATTATTTTTCTACAAATAAGGAGTGCTTCGGAGTAGCCAAAATTTTTTAAAATAAAGTTTCTTACGACCTCAGTCCACTACTCCCTACAGAGCTTTTTAAGACTAATAAATTACACATTTTCTTTTTTAGACGCTTAGAAACTCTACTACCAGAAAGTTTTCATGCTTGGTATCCTGACTTGTTTACGAAAGCTGGAAAGGCTCTTTCTGAATTAGAAAGGCTACCGGATTGTATGGCTACCGTTATCGACAAATTGCGACTTAAAGAAATTAGTAAAGAACAGTGTGTAGTGCACAATCGGTTAGTGGAATTAGAAATGGAGCACCAAAAGCTTACGGGACTTATCAGTCGAGCTCAAGAGCGAAAACCTGGACGAAATAATGAACAAATGGTAATTTCTCTCAAAACTCAGACAATATCTGATTTTTATGTGCATACATTTTTTCTTATCAGTGTATTATTTCCACTTCTGGTTTCATTTTGGTGGTCGAACATGTGAATTCTGGACCAGATAAATATGCGCCTCACAAATATCATTTGATTTGTGTGAGGGCTGTGATACTGCCCAGGTGCCCAAACCGAAGCAGGTGGTTTTCTTAGGGGGCCACACCCCGGGCCTTTAACCTAAAAGCCTGATCCACAAGGCAGTGGAGCATCATGAGGAGATGTAGTCCTATGATAGCCGGTGACCAATGGTTGGTTCATACGCCATTCGTTCCATCAGGATACTGGAGCCCATGTGCACCATTGGTTTGGAATCAGGGTTTTCCAACTCCCCTAGGTGGACCCTCCATGTTCACCAACCCGGTTAAAGCGCCGGACATTCGCTTTTCGTCCTCTCACTTTCGTAAACAACAGTAATGCCACGAGAAGGCAGTGAGTAGGACTTCCCTGACAGAGGCTCTATATTCGCGTGGCCATGTGAGAGCATTTGGAGAGGGAGAGTGAACTCTTCCCACTCTCGGCCGTACCAGGGCATTTGGGGGCATAAGTCTAGTGTCAGGAGTGGGATTCGAACCCACGCCCACAGAGTGGACTGCGAACTGAACGCAGCGCCTTGGACCGCTCGGCCATCCTGATGGTGGTCAGCTTTCTCTGGTTGCGCTGATGTATATTGAGTCACTTTGAACCGTTACATTTTCACTCGAGGTTTTACGTATATATCAATTAACCAATCATTGAAGACGACAGAGTACTGAATGGTTCTATTGTTGAATTCCAGATCATAGTAGGTAATACGAAGTTCGATTCTGTAGTATATTTTTCTTAAAAGTCTACTGTTTTCAGAGAGCTAACTCTTTATTCTTGTTAGGTGCACTTGTGTATAAAACCATCTATGTATCAGCCTATAATCTTTTAATTATTATTAAGCTTGCTGCTGTTGCTCACGATGCAGAACAAGTGGAACTGATGGAACCCATCATATGTGTTACGTGCTCAGCTGAAATCAGTATGCGACATGCTCTGAAGCATATGGAGAAATGTTTTCAAAAGGTAAGTTAGAGTAATTCACTGTTTATCGTTTGTTTGCACGTTTTTTTAATTTACACAGTTTCTACGAATCTTTTTCTCATGAAATATATTTCAGATGGAAGGAAACACCGTGTTTTGTGCTAATCAAAAGGAACAAATCATGGGTACACCATTATTTTGTGATGCTTACGACTCACAGGCTAGAGCATATTGTAAACGATTACGTGTAGTCTGTGAGCATTATAAAGAACCGAAGCTACCTGCAGATACAGTATGTGGATCACCGCTTGTTCAAAATGTCTTTGAAGAAACTGGTGAATTCTGTTGTGTGCCGCGCAACAAGTGTACTAAACACTTTGGTTGGGAACGTCTACGCCGAGCGAAAATAGATTTGGAACGATATCGCTGTGTAAGTGATGTCTTCTAATAATAGTTTGTTCACAAATTGTCTCAGTTAGATATGCCAATATCCAATCCTATTTTAATAAGACCATGAAACGAATAAATTGACAAACTGATACTGCAACTTTCAATCTTGTGCTGTTAATACACTGAACTAAATTAGTCTTAGCCTATTGCCATTTCTAAGACACCTAATTCTCAAACTTGGCTGTTGTTATGGTCGCTTAACTGACTTGCTACTGGTTAACCTCGCATCGGACAAGGCAAGTAAAAACACAAAGCCATGTATCATTTTAGCTTTTTTGACCCCCAAAATAAATTAAAATGATACATAAATATACTACTTTGTATAGAATATATGTGCAGTCAGATTTGTACAAACTGAACTGACTAGTATTTAATATCAATTAATACTTTACTGTCTCAACACATATTTACAACGCTGCACAGTTAAGCATCACCCTCAATCAAAATGGACAGACTGAGCGCTTCGTGGACACATTTAAAAGAGCACTACTAAAAGGGGAAGGCGAGGGGACAAGTCAGGTAATTACGAGATTCTCAACAGCTTATAGAACTACGCCTAACCATATCGTCCCAGATTGAAAATCCCCTGCCGAGGCGATGTTCGGGAGAAGCATTCGAATTATATTTGACGCCAAGTTGCCACCTAAACGAATAGTTGGACGCAGACAAAATCAGAATATCCGGAGTTTTAACGTCGGTGATAAAGTGTTCGTCAAGTCATACATTGGAAAAAATCGTTGGGAACCGGGAGTCATTGAAAAGAGAATGGGGAATCTTCTATACAAAGTGCGTGGGACTTCCGGAACGTGGTTTAGACACATTAATCAAATACATAGAGAAAAAAGGATTCTAAACACCGTAGATAGTTGAGTGAGGCTTTCGCTAGAGTTAATTACAGATACTCCAATGACAGAAAGCCCAAGAGACACTCATAGACGCTGGATACCAGGAAAGTCCGAACGCCGCAGAAAACGAGTTGCCAAGCTGCGAGTAGACCCGAAGAAAAGGTCTTATTTCTTGAAAAGGGGAAGGTGTTGGGGTGATCCAAAAAACTTCTCGCGAAAGACAAGGCTCAGGAAACACTAAGAATCATTTTTTCCAATCAGCTTCCGCTAGAATTTTTGCCATAAGCATCACGAAAGTGAAAAGTCACATGTAGAGTTCCTGGTTGGCTGATTACTACACTGCTACTATGTTTAGTAGCATTACAGTGCTTCTTTAATATTTTGCTCCTTTTCTCTTGTGTTCAAGTTGCGGTGTAGATTTAGCTTGGGGTCTACAAGAATAGCTTAGGAACCAGGTACTTAGGATGCGATTGCACGTCACAGACGACTTGAAAAAAGTCAATGTCATTACTCGATTTAGTATTTGCTCACCATCTCAGCAATTTATTTTTAATTGACAAATCAATTATAGAAAGCAGACAAACACAAGTAAAGATAGAATATTAATTTGTTCAAAAGTTGAATATGGTAGCTAGGTATCTTAATAAATCTGTGGATTTAATGCTGTTTAGTTAGAATACGAATGTGATGTAAGCATGAATATCAGCGTAGAAATAGTTGAATAGGTATATTCTAAGTGTTTGTGTCTAATATGTCATATTATTACATTTTTGAGTACTATCAAGTTATCTCATTTTGTTGCCAAAATGTGTAAAATGCTCATTCGGTATGTTAAACAGGCTGTTTAGCATACATACGTTCCCACGTCTCGGTTAATTAATTAATGATGAATTAATAAACTGTATCAAGTTAAGCTGGCTCAAATTACTGTCCAAGCACATTGGACAGTAGTTTAGAAGCTTAGAAATGTCCACTCAATAACAAACGTTTTTATATAGAATCAAAAAATGAGTCTTAGCATGAAATTAATTTACTGTACTTATTGAATTAGTAATTTGAAATAATTAGTCCATTTACTACAATATTTCAATAGACAACGTAATTATATTGAGAAGTTTGTATTTTACTCTAATCACATTACAATTTCCTTTTGTAATATCGTTTTCGTGTTTTTCAGCTAATTCAAATGGATGAATTAATGCAAGAGGAACAAAAACTACGACGTGCCATATCTCAACGTGGTGGTGTACTTGGCATTTTACTACACCAAACTATTGATCATAATCCTGAGAAACCAGTTCCTATCCCAAAAGAATTAAAAACATCTTTGAAAAATAATGACCGGTCAGATTCTTGACATTTCTAAAAAAAATCTTAATTTGACTGTGTACATACCAATAGAACTTACTTGTTTCTTTTGTACAAAATGTTTTTTTCTATTATCTTATTGCTTTTTCTTAAATGATAATTTGCATATTATACATTTTTCTTCTGTCCATTTCCTGTCTTCTATCTCCTTTTTGCTTCTCAGTCATTCGGAAATTCAATGTTATTCATGTTCGCGAATAATGGTTACTTTACAGCAATTAGTTTTGATCAGCGTGAGAATGCTTAGGGTAAAGCTGTTTTACAACATTTTGCTTAAATCACAAGGGGTTTTTTGTGGATATTTAGTAATTTTATAGTTAAGATCATGAGTCAATTGAAGCTAGACCACCGTGGAAAACCTGGACGGCCGTTTCGTCCTATTATGGGACTCCTCAGCAGTTCGCATCCACGACCTCGCACTCGCGAGATTCTAACCCAGGACCTACCAGTCTCGAGCCAGATGTTAGACATTAACACCGTTGGATGCCAGCTCAGTGGTCTATGGGTTAAGGACTCTGGGTTCGAATCTCGCTAGTGCGAGGTCGTGGATGCGCACTGCTGAGGGGTCCCATAATAGGACGAAACGGTCGTTCAGTGCTTCCAGGTTTTCCACGGTGGTCTAGCTTCAATTGACTCATGATCTTAACTATAAAATTTTGCTTAAATACCTGTTTTATCTATTTCGTGAACAGAATCACATTAACAGGCTTGAGTCCAATTTTTTTATCTAGACCTAGTTCCTGAAATATTGTTACTCAAGTTAGGTAAATTTGTATCCCTATTCTTTTCAGTAACGTACAATATGTCATATCATAGTTACATGACTACACATATCAATTATTGTCATTAAGATCAACACATAGGCATCATGATTTAAGAGAAATGACTGCGAAATTTTCTTATTGTTTTCCGTTTTGCTGTCATTCCTAGTTTAGATTGAAAAGTTTACTAACTATTCAAATTATCGTTAAAGATGATGTAAAGGAATGTCTTTTTTGGATTCATCAATATTCAATATCATAATAACCTAGAAATCAAGCAAAGTTTGTCTCATAGGTTGCACACAAATTAACTACATGGTCTAGCTTCAACTGACTCATGATTTCAACTAAGAAAATACTAAATTCTCTACAAAACCCCTTCTGATCTATAACTACATATTGTTAATAAATATGGTAGGATCCGATTAAGGATTTCAGTAAACTCTGATTCGGCGCCAATGGTATATCTGGGCAAGCAGACCTATGTTAGTCATCGATCAATAAAAAGACAAAATCTGATGTCGCAACCTTCGTGTAACGTAGTAATCTACATCATTTAACAACTGTCTTTATTATTATACAAGATGAACGTTTAAATTTAGGTTAACAGTTTTTATATTCAAACATAAAATCACAGGTAATATATTTATAATACATAAGTAATTTACACATAAAACGTTACGCTAACAAATTGAAATGAACTATGTAAGATCAACAATTTCAGTTGAATGTATTCTTTTTCGTTTAACATCTACTACATGAAAACACTCTTTCATAACTTTATCTAATTCTTTCTTATTTGATAATAAATAAGGCATTAATTCAATGTGTTCATTATTAACTACATTGTCATTGTTTACAACATAACAAACAGTTGAATATGGTGTAAAATGAAAATCAAATTTTAAATATTGATGAATTAAACACCAAGATATAAAATGCTCATAAAATTGACGTTCAGATTTTTCTTGATTTTTATTTAATAATTTTTGACTGATAGATTGTATTTGTTTATTACAAGACATCAGATCAATTAATTTAGGGCCAGTTATCCTTTCTTGTTTTGTTAAACTTTGATCAAATAATAATTGTTTTGTTGCATTCAGTAATTCATTGATTTTTATTTGAATCAGAGTGGATACATCTATATTATACCAAAAAAAACAACAACATGATAAGTTGGACAATCAAATCGAATGAATGTTAAGCAGTGTAGGGCTTGATATTAATGTGTATTGATTCAAATTATTAAACTTCAGATCAGTATAATGAAAGTGGTAAACAATAAGGCGACAAGTAGAGCAAACAAAATGTTGACAATGATTGCAATGGAAAGTTGAATATAAAAGAAACAAATTGAAAAAATGAATCCTGTTAGATCGGCATACAATAAACTCTATCAGAGCCTCCAGAGAGGCTCATAAAGAGACCAACCAATCAGCGATCAGTTAGAAGCTATGCTACTAAAAATGCTACTAAAATAACAAGGTCCTGATTGGCTGTTAACATATTGCTACTATGGAATCTCAAGGTCTTTCTAATTACTATAAAACCCCTGTTTTTTCTGTACATAATCGAACCTTGTAGTAAAGTGATTTCTCTGTTACTCGTGTCTTCTTACTGGTCTTTCAAGTCGCTGAGTAGTGCTAGCCTGGGGTTATCCGAATAGCTTAGGATCTGAATATAGCGTTCAACCCACAAGACATATCAGTGGCGACGGGGAAAAACTACAAGACATATCACTGGCGACGAAAAAAAAAATGACAATGAGTATTTCTTTAGAGCAATTTGAAGCTTATATGGAGCGTCAAGAAAAACGGTTTGAACAGTCTCAAATCAGAGTCATGGAAGCTCTTATGCAGAAATTATGTATGTCTCAACAAAACTCTGCTGCTGGTGAATTTCAAGTATCTCATACTGACTCAGTTATTAACGCAATCCATGAATTTAATTTTGATGGTGCAGCAGGTGTCACTTTTAACTCTTGGTTTAAGAAGTATGAAGATTTGTTTCATATTGATCTCTGCAGACTGGATGACGCTTCAAAAGTCAGAATACTTCTAAGAAAGCTTGGGACAACAGAACATGAACGCTATAGTAACTTTATTCTCCCGAAGAACCCACGAGACTTTAGTTTTGATGAAACAATTCAAACCCTGTCTCAAATCTTTGGAGAACAGTCGTCTCTATTTAATATCCGTTACCAGTGCTTGAAGATAACGAAAGAATCAGGAGATGACTGGGTGAAACATGCAGGTATTGTGAACCGAGAATGCGAGAGGTTCAATTTGTCTTCCATGTCTGAAGACCAGTTTAAATGCTTAGTATTTGTCTGTAGCCTGCGTTCACCTGAGGATGCTGACATCCGAACGAGAATCCTAAGCAAACTTGAGCATTGTCCCAACATGACCCTGCAGGAAGTGACTAATGAATGTCAAAGGTTAGTGAATTTGAAGCACGATACCTCGATGGTAGAAAACACTAACCAGTTCCTCCACGTTAATGCTGTTGAGAGGAAAGTCGAGCAAGGTTCCAGTATACAGAATTATCGAAATGATTGCGGTAAACCATCATCCCCATGCTGGTTATGCGGAGGTTGGCATTTCAAAAGGTTTTGTCCGTTTAAAAGTCATCGTTGCATTACGTGTTCCAGGAAAGGACACAAAGAAAGTCATTGCAAAACCCGTAAACGTCGTCAACCTAAAGTTTATTCTAAAAGATTCAAGCCACGCACAGCCAAGGTGACGGTAGCTGCTAACAGAATCGGCTCCCATAATCGTAGAAAGTATGTTTCCCTCAAGATTAACGGGTACGATGCCCGCTTACAGCTAGACACAGCCTCCGATATAACGCTTATAAGCAGGAGGACGTGGGAGAAAATTGGGAGGCCGAGAATATTTTCAACCTATCAGACAGCACACGGCGCATCTGGGGGGATTATAAACATTGCTGGTGAGGTTCACTGTAAAATCACAGTCGCAGAGCTTACAAAGAAGGGAGTAATATTTTTGACAGAACGGCCAGCACTCGACTTATTGGGACTTGATTGGATAGAAAAGTTGAAATTATTAGATCGTCCCATAAATTCAATCTGCAACAACGGCACTATGTCGAAAGTTGGGGACCCAACATTGTTTCGTGGGGGAGGTTGAAGTCAGCAAATGCAGTCTGGATACCTACCCCGCTTCTTCAAAAAAGGGGAGGTGTTAGATCGGCATACAATAAACTCTATCAGAGCCTCCAGAGAGGCTCATAAAGAGACCAACCAATCAGCGATCAGTTAGAAGCTATGCTACTAAAAATGCTACTAAAATAACAAGGTCCTGATTGGCTGTTAACATATTGCTACTATGGAATCTCAAGGTCTTTCTAATTACTATAAAACCCCTGTTTTTTCTGTACATAATCGAACCTTGTAGTAAAGTGATTTCTCTGTTACTCGTGTCTTCTTACTGGTCTTTCAAGTCGCTGAGTAGTGCTAGCCTGGGGTTATCCGAATAGCTTAGGATCTGAATATAGCGTTCAACCCACAAGACATATCAGTGGCGACGGGGAAAAACTACAAGACATATCACTGGCGACGAAAAAAAAAATGACAATGAGTATTTCTTTAGAGCAATTTGAAGCTTATATGGAGCGTCAAGAAAAACGGTTTGAACAGTCTCAAATCAGAGTCATGGAAGCTCTTATGCAGAAATTATGTATGTCTCAACAAAACTCTGCTGCTGGTGAATTTCAAGTATCTCATACTGACTCAGTTATTAACGCAATCCATGAATTTAATTTTGATGGTGCAGCAGGTGTCACTTTTAACTCTTGGTTTAAGAAGTATGAAGATTTGTTTCATATTGATCTCTGCAGACTGGATGACGCTTCAAAAGTCAGAATACTTCTAAGAAAGCTTGGGACAACAGAACATGAACGCTATAGTAACTTTATTCTCCCGAAGAACCCACGAGACTTTAGTTTTGATGAAACAATTCAAACCCTGTCTCAAATCTTTGGAGAACAGTCGTCTCTATTTAATATCCGTTACCAGTGCTTGAAGATAACGAAAGAATCAGGAGATGACTGGGTGAAACATGCAGGTATTGTGAACCGAGAATGCGAGAGGTTCAATTTGTCTTCCATGTCTGAAGACCAGTTTAAATGCTTAGTATTTGTCTGTAGCCTGCGTTCACCTGAGGATGCTGACATCCGAACGAGAATCCTAAGCAAACTTGAGCATTGTCCCAACATGACCCTGCAGGAAGTGACTAATGAATGTCAAAGGTTAGTGAATTTGAAGCACGATACCTCGATGGTAGAAAACACTAACCAGTTCCTCCACGTTAATGCTGTTGAGAGGAAAGTCGAGCAAGGTTCCAGTATACAGAATTATCGAAATGATTGCGGTAAACCATCATCCCCATGCTGGTTATGCGGAGGTTGGCATTTCAAAAGGTTTTGTCCGTTTAAAAGTCATCGTTGCACTACGTGTTCCAGGAAAGGACACAAAGAAAGTCATTGCAAAACCCGTAAACGTCGTCAACCTAAAGTTTATTCTAAAAGATTCAAGCCACGCACAGCCAAGGTGACGGTAGCTGCTAACAGAATCGGCTCCCATAATCGTAGAAAGTATGTTTCCCTCAAGATTAACGGGTACGATGCCCGCTTACAGCTAGACACAGCCTCCGATATAACGCTTATAAGCAGGAGGACGTGGGAGAAAATTGGGAGGCCGAGAATATTTTCAACCTATCAGACAGCACACGGCGCATCTGGGGGGATTATAAACATTGCTGGTGAGGTTCACTGTAAAATCACAGTCGCAGAGCTTACAAAGAAGGGAGTAATATTTTTGACAGAACGGCCAGCACTCGACTTATTGGGACTTGATTGGATAGAAAAGTTGAAATTATTAGATCGTCCCATAAATTCAATCTGCAACAACGGCACTATGTCGAAAGTTGGGGACCCAACATTGTTTCGTGGGGGAGGTTGAAGTCAGCAAATGCAGTCTGGATACCTACCCCGCTTCTTCAAAAAAGGGGAGGTGTTAGATCGGCATACAATAAACTCTATCAGAGCCTCCAGAGAGGCTCATAAAGAGACCAACCAATCAGCGATCAGTTAGAAGCTATGCTACTAAAAATGCTACTAAAATAACAAGGTCCTGATTGGCTGTTAACATATTGCTACTATGGAATCTCAAGGTCTTTCTAATTACTATAAAACCCCTGTTTTTTCTGTACATAATCGAACCTTGTAGTAAAGTGATTTCTCTGTTACTCGTGTCTTCTTACTGGTCTTTCAAGTCGCTGAGTAGTGCTAGCCTGGGGTTATCCGAATAGCTTAGGATCTGAATATAGCGTTCAACCCACAAGACATATCAAATCCAAAGTATGCGATAACATTAAGTTCAATACTTAATCAATGATAAATAGCGTGGGATCTGGTATATTTATGAGTTAGCTCAATTCATAACACCATATCAGCGCAGAAATAAATTGATCAAGACAAATTTCAGAGAGTATTAGAGCTAGTAACAGTATTAGTTGTAACAGAGAAAATTAGGCATAAACAATATGAGCAAAGATTGATAGTGGCTAGAAATTGAATATAAAACGCGCGTTTCGTCCTATTTGGGACTCGTCAGCTGGATGTACCTGCATCTCAGAGTTGATGTTCACCTTCATCTTTGCTTATAATGCTTGTGAATTAAGGCAATAGGCACAGTATGCACATATGCCAATAAAAGACTGACCAGTTGCAGTCCTAAGCATCAATGGGAAGATTCAAACAAACAGTACTAAGTGAATATAAACAATATGATTTGAGAACAGTTAATCTGCAAAGTGGAAAAGTATGAGACAGTTTCTTAACTGTAGACAAAAAGTGAATGTATCGGAGCCATATTACCCAACGTCTGCAACTGTTGGTTATGATTATCGAGCAGGTCCCAACCAGGTAGATTCAGTCCAACAGTTGGCGATTTCATGGACTAATGCCATATTTTATTTTGATCGCTCTAAGCTATTTCTGCATCAGCCAAGATTTTAAACTGAGATATGCGGTGGATGACCATAATTAGTACTGTTAAACGAGTCCCAAAATATCCCACCATTAAAGTCTCGAGAGGCCCAGAAACTCCAGGAAACGTTTTACGCAATCAGCGTTGAATAGGTTTCGCAGAAACATCTAGGAAATGCACAGTTGCGTGCTACATTTTGAACTGGAAATTCACTGATACTACCACTGTATTTAATACGGTTTCAGAAATCTCCAGAAACCCAAGGTTATGTGTAGCTCAACGAATAGCCTCGTTTTTTCTGTACGTGAAATAACCTTAGAGTAAAACTTATGCTCGCAGCTCGGGCCTTCTCCCTATTGTCCCACTTGACGTGTATAAGTAGTTGAGGTCATAATAACCATCTAAGAATACAGTTTAGGTGTATTGTTAGCAAGACTTATCACATAGATTCCCTTATTTGGTCTCATATCATAATTATATCCATCTGGTAAAAACCGTGGCAATGATAGGGAGTGATTATGAATAAATACTGGAATTTCGCTTCATAAATATCTCCACTTCATTTTTTAGACTATTCTGGTGAGATTCACATTTGAAACGCATAAATCACTAAGAGAAGGTTTAACTCTTCAGGATAAGGTGTTACTGTGAAATTCTGCATACTTTGATCTCAACTTTCGATGGATGATACACGTATTTTATTTATTTAAACACATAAATAATGGTACAAGGAAGCACCAGATAAATATGCGCCACACAAATCTCATTTGATTTGTGTGAGGGCTGTGATACTGCCCAGGTGCCCAAACCGAAGCAGGTGGTTTTCTTAGGGGGCCACACCCGGAGCCTTTGACCTAAAGGTCTGATCCACAAGGCAGTGGAGCATCGTGAGGAGATGCAGTCCTATGGTAGCCGGTGACCAACAATAGGTTCATTCGCCATTCGTTCCATCAGGATACTGGAGCCCATGTGCACCATTGGTTTGGAATCAGGGTTTTCCAACTCCCCTAGGTGGATCCTCCATGTCCACCAACCCGGTTAAAGCGCCGGACATTCGCTTTTCGTCCTCTCACTTTCGTAAACAACACCCCCGCCACGAGAAGGCAGTGAGTAGGACTTCCCTGACAGAGGCTATATATTCGCTGGCCATATGTGAGTATTTCGAGAGGGAGAGGTGACTCTCCCCACTCTCGGCCGTACCAGGGCATTTGGAGGCTGATACACGTATAACGACTGGTCACTAAGCATAATTAACCACCTAATTGGGAATAAAGAAGTAATCTACTAATGTGGTTCAGTATTTAATATTGGACAATTATAAAACAGTAATTAGGGAAATCGACTGATATAATCATTTGATTTATTTTAAAAGTGCTTGACTCACCTGACTTATTTGTGCTTTTACGTTGACAATTGTCACAAGCATTTTTACAGTCATCAGTAGACCAAGAAGTATCACCGAGATTTTTTGAAATTAAATAACGTCTACATTTATTTGGATCAATACAATATCCAACCATTTGACAAAGTTTTGCAATCCCTGTTCGTTCAGATGATACCATGCTGGCTAAACGAAATAGATCTGAAAAACGCCACAATAATATACAATCCGCCGAGTTCGAATCACGTCCCGCTCTACCTGATTCCTGATAATAATTTTCTAAACTTTTGCTCGAAGAAAAGTGTATTACAAAACGAACATCAGCTTTATCAATACCCATACCAAAAGCTACAGTGGCAACAATTACCTATGAACATTAAAGAAGAGTCATAAACACAGAAAAAAGTTGACGATTCCAAAAATACATTTACTGGAAAAAAAAAGAAAAATATGTAAAAACGAATGGGTCATGTAAGCATATTATATTATGAAGGAAAATGGATAATCAATTCGATCGTCAACTTTATTTGAAAAAGTATTAAGAAGAATCAAGCATATAGTTCAGTTAGTTATACTTTCTGGCTTCACTAGTTTAACTTTACGGTAATGTATCCGTTTAGTTATTGATTAATTATTGAGTAAGTCCTAATCTGATGAATTTATTCAAAACGTGACCATTAATTAATGTAAATGAAACCTATAAAAATCAGTGCATTGAGACGTAATTTTTGATGTATAGTAAAACTTCATCAATCAGTATTTTGTTGCTCTCATCGAGTGATTACGTGACAAGTTTCCCCGAATAGAAGGATTACGTTTTAAGGCTATTCCAATAGAGAACCGACAGCACACCCAGGCGTATTTAAGTAGTAGTATCAAGAGAATGGAGAGGCTGCTATCGATCACAGCGAAGTACTCAAGAAAGGATCTGACTACGATGATGGGAGACCTAAATGACAAAGTAGAAATGGACAACAACGGTTATAAAGATATCATGGGACGACATGGACTGACTAGGAGAAAGGAACGAGAATGGTGTTAGATTTACAAATTCATGTGCATTCAACAAAATGGTTTTAAACAGCATAATATTCCCACGAAAAGTCATACACAAAGCTACATGGATCTCACCGGACCACACTACAGAAAACCAGTTCAATCATATTTGTATCAGTAAAAAATTCAGACCGTCAATCAATGGAAGACATGAGAACTAAAAGAGCGATTGACATAGCTTCAGGTCACCACCTGGTTGTGACCAAGATGTAACTGAAGCTAAAGAAACACTGGACAGCGGGGAAACAGAACTACAAAGGTTCAATACAGCCTTGCTTCGAGATACTAACAAACTCAACCAATCCAAGATAGCTCTCAAAAACAAGTCCCAAGCTCCCAAAGGAGCTTTAAGAAGTCCTTATTTGACCGTATTGTTGCTTTCTAGTTATCTGCTAGAAACCTTCATTATTTGACTCGAATCTTTTAAACGGAATCATGATCACATTTTTTAGGAATATTTCTGTTGATTGTCAAGTATACGATAACAGCATTTAGTACTATTTGCTGTATGGCGCATTATTTTGTACTGCAGGAAATCTTTACTACATGGTGTTCAGTTATCAATCTTGAGGTATTCTGTATTTTGATGTAAACGATACCATTGTAAAATTATGAAATCATACTGTTTTTCAAGTTTGTACTTTTTATACTAGTGACATATGTTCTGAAGTTTCAGTCGACGGGAGCACTAAAAGCGGGAAAACAAACCTTATATAAAGCACTATAGTTATGGTGAAAAAAAACTTTTAAGAGGAGAGAATAAACAAAAAGCAGCATATTTTAAAAATGCTAGGAGTGTATGATCCTCTAAGACCAATTATTTGCACAGCTTCGAGGTTATACAAATGAAAATTGGACCCTCTTCTTCATTTCTAATACTTGTTTTTAAATATCTGTAACCAACACAGTTACCACGATAGCATCATTGATGACTAAAACTATAAGTTATGCTGACAAATTCAGTCCAAAAAGGAGAATTTTTATTCCTTTAGGACTGGAACTATCACAGTTTGTTCCAATTGGTCTACTTAGGAGAAATTTCATTTGTACCAAGCACTTACGAGTGGAAATTCTGTCGTCCTTTTTTTCGTACACTTAGTGTTTAGCTATTTTATTTATTTATTCATTTAAACACATAAATATTGGTACAAAGGGCACCAAATACATATGCGCCGCACAAATCTCATTTGATTTGTGTGAGGGCTGCGATACTGTCCAGGTTCCCAAACCGAAGCAGGTGGTTTCCTTAAGGAGCCGCATCCAGAGCCTTTGACCTAAAGATCTGATCCACAAGACAGTGGAGCATCGTAGGGAGATGCAATCCCATGGTAACCGGCGACCAACAATTGATTCAGACGCCATTTGTTCCCTCAAGATACTGGAGCCCATGTGAACCATTGGTTTGGAATCAGGGTTTTCCAACCCCCCTAGGTGGACTCGCAGTATGCACCAACCCGGTTAAAGCGCCGGACATTCGCTTTTCGTCCTCTCAATTTCGTAAACAACACCCGTGGTACGAGAAGGCAGTGAGTAGAACTTTCCTGGCAGAGGCTGTATGCACGTGGCCGTGTGAGTGAATATCTGGTCTATACAACCACGTCCAGGTCGAGAACCAGCTTGGTTTTCTCTAGTCTGCTCGTCACGAGCTTTAGTTAGGCGTCGAAGTATTATTGAAGCTAATATTTAAGACATTATATTAGTCAAACTGATTCCTCTGTGATTGTCGCAAGAGGACTTTTGTCCTTTCTTATAGACTGACACAATCAGTGGTTCGGACCAGTCAAATGGGATTACGTCCGCTTTCTAGATCCTACCTAAGACTTCAGTCAATCTCGCTGATAGTACTTACAAATGCTATTTAATTATTTCCAGTAGCACAGTCAATAAGTGTATTTCAAAAATAGTATTTAAAACAGATTCTGAAGCATGCTCAGAAGATTTGTTGATAATTTTGATAAATAAAATACAATGATTAATACGCTAAAAATAACGTACTTGAATTTTTCCTTGACTCCAACCGGAATGAACTGTAGATCGATAATTAAAATCTAAGTTAGCATGATATGGAGCTACCTTTAACCCAAAGTTCTTTAGTTCTGAAGAAACATCTTCAGTATCTTTCTGAGAAAAACAGTATACAATGCCTAGAAATATACGAACAGAATAAAAACGAGTTTATCAGAAATTATTAAAGACTAACCGAATAGCTTTCATAAAATAGAAGGATTTCGGCCAGCAGTGAAATTCGGGACGAGTAGTTTATCCTATTTTGGGATTCGTCAGCTAAATTTGCCTGCATGCCAGAGTTGATGTTCACTTTGAGACTCAAATGGAGTACATTTTGCAACAAATACATGTACCGGTAGATAAATCCACAAATTAACTAGTCTTGTAACTCATCGATATTGATGCAGGCCTCCTTAGTTTTACTGGACACATTATAGCTCACATTATAACTCAGTCAAGCATCCGCACCAGATCACGAGTAGGTACGCTGTGCTACATATCCCTTACAACTACTATCCAGCTTTTCAACATATCGATAACTTACCAAATATATCTTCGAACTCTTTTATTTCTAACTTGACTGGGTCGGTATCCTTCTCTTATAAAGGCGTTGTCAAACTCCGAATACCTGTAGCATAGTTACACCTAACACATTATCCACCAAATCTAAAAATGAATATCAATGCTGAGATGCAGCTAATTCCAAATGACGACTCCCAAAATAATACGGGACGAGCACCATAAACTCGATTACTGGCCACAATCCATCTATCCTTTTAAACATGCAGTGAAATGGCTATGAGATTTGTTAACTCTGGACATTATTGTTACATAGTATTATACAAAATAAAGTCGGGTTAAACATATACAACTGTAGTGGTGTTCTGTATTATTTTTATTTTGTTTTCTATGTTTAAAATCATTACTAAGCTATTATTGAAGTAGTGTATCATCTTTATAATTCTACATTCAAGTGGTGAAAATAAGTGGATTTATTTAAATCAGAAAAATCAACTTAAAATCAACCTTCTTCTGTTATGTGACGAACTCAAAAACTAATTTTCTGAAATTTCGATATAAATAAACAAACGACATATCAAACGAACACCCTTACTCAGTTTAAATTAACAGGGAAAAATAAGACCATATGATAAATATGTAGTGGGAAACATGCCCCCAAATGCCCTGGTACGACCGACAGTGGGAAGAGTCCGCTCTCCCTCTCCGAATGCTCTCACATGGTCACGCGAATATATAGCCTCTGTCAGGGAAGTCCTACTCACTGCCTTCTCGTGGCATTACTGTTGTTTACGAAAGTGAGAAAACGAAAAGCGAATGTTCGGCGCTTTAACCGGGTTGGTGGACACGGAAAGTCAACCTAGGGCATTTGGAAAACCCTGATTCCAAACCAATGGTGTACATGGGCTTCAGTATCCTGAGGGAACAAACGGCATAGGAATCAGTGGTTGGTCACCGGCTACCATGGGACTACATTTCCTTACGATGCTCCACTGCCTTGTGGATCAGATCTTTAGGTCACAGGCTCCGGGTGTGGTCCCCTAAGAAAACCACCAGCTTTAGTTTGGGCACTTGGGCAGTATCACAGCCCTCACACAAATCGAATGAGATTTGTGCGGCGCATATGTATCTGATGCTTCCTTGTACCAATATTTATGAGTTTAAATAATAATAATAATAATAAGAGAAACATTGAATTCAAACAAAATAACTAATAGTTTATCATTGAATAGAATAATAATTCAAACAGAATATTTACCTGACTGATTAGTATAATTTTTATTAATTAATTCATATAAATATTTAACAGATGCTTTGATAGATCCACTGACTGGTTTAACCTATGTAAATAAGTTGGGAGGAAAAGTAATAAAAAACAATAAAATGTTTACCATAAAAAGTTTTGAGGCATAAATCAATCATAGTGATTGTACGATATGGCACCAACATGAAACAATCCCAGGTGCCAAAGCTCATATCAGAAACATATTGGAAGATAAACGAAAAATCTGTAAGTCATAGTAGAGCGAAAAATATGAAATCTATTAGAAATCTAAACTTGATAAATACAGTTACAACTTAAGAGATTTTCTTTTCCTGTCATATTTTCAATTATTATCCTTGTAACACCAAAGATATCAATGAATTAAAGAAAATATAAGCATATCCACTGACAAGATAGGTAGATACCCAACCAATGAAAAATACTTTTGTAATTATCTAAACATCAGTGTAGTATATAGCTTTAAACCTGAATAAGTGATGTGGGATTCAAGATGGTGTTAAAAATTAAATAATAATTGTACACAAAAATGTATACGCCTCAGTAAGCAATTTGAGTAGCAGTCATTAGATAACTGTTCATGAGAAGTTATTTAAAATCAAACTATAATTCCCAGAAAATAATTTGGAATTAAGGACATATGGGGCAGAGAAAGATTCACACAATTTAGCGCTTTGTAGATCATCAGTAAAGCATGATGCTATGAATGTAGAAATCAGACTTGAGAAAAGGTTATTTAGAAGAAAGTCACAATATGTATACGAGATTCTAATAGACCAAACAGATGGATAAATAGCTTACTCTAAAAAAGATATATCTGTCCACTGTAGGAAAAGTATACAACACAGCGGTTTGTTCTTTTTTACTTCACAACTGTAAAAACTGCCCTTTGAAAGCAGAGGACAGGCGTAGTTAACTAGTATTTAACCATAGATATTTTCGAAACATCTCATACATATAATCGAATAATTAAGTCAATACGCAAATTATGCACATATGCCAATAAGAGACTGATCAATTGCAATCCTAAACACTAATGGGAAGATCCAAACACCCAATACAAAATGAATTAAAACGTTGACTCATCGCACAAGCTAGTGGCTATCTGGACTCAGTAGCTAAGTGGATAATGTGGTAGCGTTTGAGGCCAACGACACTTGGTTCGAGTCCCAGAGTGAACATCAACTCTGAGATGCAGGTATATCTAACTGAAGAGTCCAGAATAGAACGAAACGCGCGTCCTGGATTCCATAGCTAGCCACTATCCATCTTTACTTATAAGTCAATACTGTTTCATTTAAATCTACAGTACTAGATGAAGATGACAAATCGGCTAAGGAAGCAATAAATTAAATCTATACTGAATTTTTAACAATTCAGTTTAACAATTAATGGTAACAAAAAGAAACAAACAAGCAAGAAACATATACCAAGTTAACTTACATAATAATTTAAATTTTCTCGATTATAACTAGTTCTTAATACTAAACATTTGTCTACATTAAGACCCAACATATTCTCTATATCTACAATTATTTCAGTAGTTGCAGTTGCAGTTAAACCAATAATTGGTACATTTGAAAATTGACGTCTTAATATATGTAGAAATTTATAATCCGGTCTAAAATCATGACCCCATTGACTAGCACAATGTACTTCATCAATAGCAATACAAGCTAATCGATTTGTTGAATAAACAATCTCTAAACGATTTAATAATAATTTACTTTTAGCCAATTTTTCTGGAGTTACATATAATAAGCGTAAATTAGATTTTGTTGAAGCATTTGTTTTGTTCTAAATTTTTTTAAAATAAATAAATAAAAAGAAGACGTAATTGAATAAAATTGATGAGAAAAATTTCTTTCGTTATTAATTTATTAGTCAATTGAGAAAGAAAACGTCAAATACTGCGCAGCAGTTCGCTATGTTTTACTTTACGGCTGCAAAACATGTCCATCAAGAGTAGAGGATACACGTAAGTTACTAGTATTTGACCACAGATGTCTTAGAAATATTGCTCGCATCTACCGGGATCACCGGGTAAGTAATAGTAAGGTTCGACGCAGGGTATTAGGAAATGATGATAAATCAGTTGATGAGGTCATGGATCTTCATCGACTGAGGTGGCTAGACCATGTATTACGTATGCCTGAACACCGATTACCACGACGCGCTATGCTGACTAGTATAGGGGAGGGTTGGAAGAGAGTTAGAGGCGGCCAAACCAAAACGTGGCGACAGAGCTTGGAGTCACTAACTTTTAGTCTGAGCCATATTGGTAGATGCAGACTACTTGGTTGATGTCAGCGCGACTTTCGCAATCAATGGTTGGAGACTCTAGGTGACATGGCTAAGAACCGATCATAATGGCGTAGGTGTATACACTCTTTATCTTCTCTTAAACCTTGAGATTAAAATTGCTTCATATCTGTCTTTCTTCCTGTACTATATCCTTGTAAACAATCTTTCTTGTATATACTACCACCATTTAATTAACTACTATGAATTCGGTATTCATCTTGTTGTGCTAATGAGGTATGGCAACTTGAACCGATGAATATATGTGCCTGGTCCTACGTTGTAGCTGACTGAGTGACTGTAGGATTCATATCTAACTCATTTGGATTTTCATTTGCCTAATATATTAAAAAGCATTGAAAATTGAAATAATGTCACATTATTTCAGATAGTGAACTAGTGTCTGACAAAAGAACAGGCGCTTTGATTCTTTACTCCAAATAAACTTTAAACCACATCAATAATGATTCACAATTATTAATATACTTTGTAAGAGGGTAATGTTACACTGGGTTTCATGGGAATCAAACACTAACTAGGCTTTTAGATGACCTGAAAAGTACAGCTCAATTCTGTGGCGTTATCATACAGGTACCAAGATCCCTAGTGAAAAAAAATAATAGTAATAATAATCATAATCAGTTTATTAACTAACAGGTTTTTCTGCAAGTAATGAGAGAATTCGACGTTGTTCTTGTAATGGTGTATTCGCATCTAAAACTGCTATTGTATCTGGCTCAAGACTGTATCTGGTCAAGTTAATCGATTGATCAACCATTAAAGAAACTAATGGACTTATAACTAACGTTAATGAACCACGATATCGTCCGTTCACTTTGAAAGCATTAACATTAAGTAATGCAGGTAATTGATATACCAAACTTTTGCCTGCGCCTAAATATTATGGAAAAAGAAACGAAGAAAAAACATTAAAATCATACTAGATATTTCATTTATTAAAGATCCATAAAGGAAATTATATATATATATTTCTTAGGAGGTTTACGTCAGTAAAGCTGTAATGGGATATATGTATATATCGGAATGGGACTACTTATTGGTAAAAATGGCGTTTGAAGGCAATTAATTCACAGATTTCGATGAAATTAAATGTGCAAATATTGAAAAGGGCAAATTCTAAATAAACATTTATCGATCGTTCAAGGACTCTTGTCAATTTTTCAACTGAGCAACATATAATCAGGGAAGAAAAGAATTTGAAAAAGTGATTTACATCTACAGGCTTTATACATTTAACGAAGAACCGACGAAAAATTAAATGTCATCTATGTGTATGTCCCTGTTGCAGTTGCGGGTGACGATCAATCAGACTTACGCCTTATTATAGGTATCATTACCAAGGTTCAACTTGATAATTTCAAGTAAACTGAACATTAAGTAGATTGTTAGAAATAAATTAATATATTTGTAATATCCCAATGAGTAGAAAGATCGAATTTCCTGACGTCTCGTGACTTAGTGTAAGCTTCTTCTTCAGAGAATAAATCAATCTATCAAAATCAATCCAAGTTTAAATGATTTGGTTATTTGTTCTCTGAAGTAGCTTACATTGAGTCACGAAAAGTCAGTACGTTTAATTTTTTTGCTCCTTGGGATATTAAAAATATATTAATTTTTTATGCCTTATTAATACAATGATTTAAAACCTCTTACCTAATTCCAGATAAAACTTCAAATTTCTAGGCAAAATTACTGGTATACGGTTAGTCGATACTTGAGAGCTTTAGCGACATAAAACTACTGTATCGTTAAGCGCTTAGAGGTACCAGTGAGAATCCAGACTGTTTATTTTTAAAACAAGCAATATGATTGGGATATATGAATTAAGGTGATGATCAGCTTAAATCAATAAGTTGAAGTTATATGTAATAATAATTTTAATACAAATTAGGAATTATTGTATCGTAGCTGTTGTTGTGTGGTGTGCTACTTATGCGAACGGATATAAGCAGTATTTATCAGTAAGTGGAAGTAGGATTCGCACAGACAGAAGAGGAAAATGAGAAAAGAAATAAGAAAAGCAGTCAAATTAGCAGCAGGGATAGAAGAACGACAGAGTTTGTAAGAGACATTCAAGGAAGATGTACAAATGATGTATTCAAAGTATTGTTTTCATATTTTATGAGTAGTGTCTGATTTCGCTTAACACAAGGTTCGCCTATTAGATTGTAATGATAATAATAATAATAATGATAATAATAATAATATTGTAGCAATAATAATAATTTTGACTAAGAAAATCACGTAAATAAGAATAACTAAGGATAATAGAAATGTCTTGAGTGTGAAGACCTTAAGTGCACAATGAATATCCACTTCACATTTGCTAACAAACTCAATAGACAATCTTGGGGTAACAATAAGATCTCCCTGAGGTTCGATTTTTGCTTTTTTTTTTTCTAGTTAAACTGAAAAATAAACCATTACATGCTATTCTTAATCAGATAAATTACTACTGTATTTACGTAAATGATATAGTAATTATTTACGACAAAAAAGTCAGCTTACAAGAACTCCTAGAAACATTTATTAATGTACTTTCACGGCTTAGTTGCTCATGTGAGTAAAAATGTAATAACAGGATGTCATTCCTTGAAGTCAGTGAACCTAGGTCATATGGTTCCGTAAATAACAATGTTCAATTTGGAGTAGTGGAGATTGTTGAATTCCATGAATTCTTCTGAGATAGACCACTGAAAATCTGAAAGCTCTGGACGGTCATTTCTCGCAAGTATGAGACTTCTCAGCAGTGCTTATCTACTAGGCAGCTCGCAGGAATCGAAACCAAAACATTTAGTTACACGGGTTAAAGCTTGATCACTAGGCCACTGAGCCTGGCATTTAACGATGCTTGTATTAAGCATGTTTTCATATACGACTTCAACTTATTGATTTAAACTGATCATCACCTTAATTAAAACAAATAATTATTTCTTACACCTTATGTATAACTCTTTCTCAATAACACCGAAAACGTCATTTTGTTTTGTTAGTAATTTGCAGTATGTAAAGTGCAAACGACGTGGGATTTTCCACTTACCAATTTGTAACATGGATTAATTCAATTTAAACACATAGTCTATTATAACATAATAATAATAATAGTAATAATAATAATAATAATAATAATAATAATAATAATAATAATGACAGTAATTGTAATAACTTTGAATTTATAATGGTGTACAGCCTGATGGAGAAATAATCAAGACCGATGATTCCTTATTGTACTCTCTGCTGTTGACTGTTCTATTGGAATTTTCAAGTTAATATCAATCCATGATAGAAACTATTTTATTACGAAACGAATATCAAAATTTTTTTCATTAGCAAAGTATTATACACCTAATAATCGAAAACTTGTATATAAGCTATTATTGAAATACATAACGTTTTAATACGTGTCTACCCACCTACCTACCTGTAGGCATAACTAGGATTACATCACGACCATCTAAAACTGCATTAATTGCTGTTATTTGTAAAGGACGAAATTCTGAAATTTGAAAGACTTCTTTTCTCACTCGATTCACTTCTGAAGTCCATGGGAATAATGATTCTGAATTGTATTCAGACGATTTATCTAGAGAATTTGAAATTTCTTGGACACGGGCTGTAGTTAATTGAGATTTTAACTATGAGTTACAATAAAAATGAGAGGATATAAATCACACTATATACAAAAGTGATTGATAAACTAAGGTAGTCATTAACTATAGAACAAAATATTAAAAATCCAGTCCGTTCGTAAAACTTTTGAATATTTGGATATACTCGTTAGTGCTCAAGCCTCGAAATTTGTTGAAGAATCACATGCTAAGAAGAAACGGCTGCCCAGTGCTTAATGGTTATCTAGCTAAAATGAGCTAATGATGTAAAACTATAATAAAATCGTTAATTTTGTTTCAGTGTTCGGGGTGACCAAAAGTAAATGATGGATTGACTGATTGAAGATATACACCATTGGACGCTAACTCAACGGCCTGAAAATAACGCATTAACCACAAAGTCTAAACGTCTTGAGTTTGATTCATAATAAGACCTTAGATGAACACCAATAAAGAAAAGTTTAACAGAGCGACAAATTTATGATTATCTCCTGCTTTTTAATGGTGTTTATCCTACGTCAGTTAGCGATGTATCCTGTAAACTATTTACAGATATATATCGTCTTGCTATTCAATATTGTGAATAAGATAAACTATTCTTAGAAAACTGTTCAGTGTGGGAGCCAGTGTCATTATTACAAGAGCTGGTATATCTTCAAGAAATAATCGATATGAAAATACAATTATACTTCAATACTTTGTCGAACAAACCAAATCACACTCAATGGAGTTCCGGAAGAGGTGGCAACTTTTACATGCTTAGGTAGTATCATTCATAAACAAGGGGGATTTGATGCAGATATGAAGGCATGGATTATAAAATCAAGAACCCCATTCCGAGTACTGAAGAACATATGGGACTCAAAACAACTGTCAGGCAACACCAAAATCAGAATTTTTAATACGAATGTCAAGACAGTTTTACTGTAAGAAGCTAAGACTTGGAAAACTAATACAACCATGATCAAAACGGTACAGGTATTTATAGAAGATTGTCTACACAGGAAACTACATATCCGTTGGTTAGACATCACCAGCGAAAGCCTACTGCAGGAGAGAACAAATCAGCTTTCGATTGAGAAAATTAGGAAAAGACGCTAGAGGAGGGTAGGACACACGTTACGGAAATCGTCAAACTACATTATGAGGCAAGCTCTAACTTGGAATCAACAAGGCAAAAGGAAAATTGCCGGACTAAAGCACACATTGCGCCGGGAATCGCAGGCAGATATCGAAAGAACATTCAACAATGATATGAAATTTATATTCTTGGCAGCAAAGTCCATTGAAGAAACGTAGTTGTCTAAAGTCCTTATGACAATTTCAACTGGAATATGTCACTCGACCATATCGTATCACGCATGAGATTGTGAAACTAAGTGATTGTAGTTTAAATCCCAGAAGAGGTATCAGTATGGCTTGCTGACGAGTGTCGATTAACATGCAAACTAGGTTCAGGTTTTCCATCCAACTACTCCCAACCAATTAACATCAAAATCCCACTTCACCGACTTCGATTTTGGCAACTGATTAGTACGATTAGATCATCATCTCAAAATAAAAATAAAAATATAATAAATATACAATAAAAATTACTTGATCATATTGCACTTGTAAGTTTTTACGTTGATGATTTAATTCATCAATCTGTTTTGTGATAGAATCAATATTCTTTTTAAGACTTTTTAACGTCTCTTGTATTCCTAGAAAATATAATGACATAAATGTTTTAATAGGATCGAATATTGGTTACAACCTATTTAAGTTTAGTTTATACAAGGTGTCAGACTGTTTAATCCATTTGCAAGTTATTCAGCTATATATATGGGATAATCAAAAAAATTAAGTGGTACGAATTAATTGATACGAAGTGGCTTAATTTAAATTATTGGTTGATGGCAGAGGAACAAATTTCAAATCATAGTGTTAATAAATCGAAACGGTTGGCCAGTGATCCTTGATTTTTTTAGATAACTCATCGGCAGTGGTAAGAAGAACAAAAGCTGATTGTCAAGTTGAGCCTCTTCGGAAAACCTACATATACCTTTCCAGTTACACAAAAGGTGCTAGGATGGGATGTCATTCAGCTAAAATGTAGGACCAGCCACATATGCATCGGTTCAAGTTGCTACATCACATTAGCACCACAAAGTGAACACCGAATTCATAGTAGCAGTTACTTCGAAGGTTGGACAGGACTGTTCTCTGGGATTGTCTATTGAAGAAGGGTGTGCCTGAGAAGTTCATTAACATCTTAAAGGCCCTGTATACGAACACCTCAGGCAGAGTGAGGGCATACAACCACCTTTCTCCCTTGTTCCATTCGAGCAGTGGGGTTAGGCAGGGTTGCCCGATCTCACCATTCCTCTTCAACTTTGCCATCGACGACATCCTGGAAACAGCTCTGGTGGATGTAAGTAATGGCGGTGTGGATATGTTGCCTGGAGAACGACTTCTCGACCTCGAGTATGCGGATGATATTGTCTTACTGTGCGATAATGCCCAAGGCATGCAATCAGCACTTAATCAGTTGGCAATCAGTGTCCGCAGGTACGGCATGTGCTTTGCACCCTCCAAGTGCAAAGTACTCCTACAAGACTGGCAGGATTCTCATCCTGTACTCACCCTGGATGGTGAGCAGATTGAAGTAGTTGAGAAGTTCGTGTATCTAGGTAGCTATATAAGTGCTAGTGGTGGCGTGAGTGATGAAATTGATGCACGTATAAAGAAAGTCAGAGCGGCTTATGTCAATCTGGGCCATCTTTGGCGCCTTCGTGATGTTAGTCTGGCTGTAAAAGGTCGGATCTACAACGCGTCGGTGAGAGCAGTTTCGCTCTATGCTTGTGAAACCTGGCCTCTCCGAGTTGAGGATGTTAGACGTCTCTCTGTGTTCGATCATCGTTGTCTCCGAAGGATTGCTGACATACAGTGGCAACACCATGTTAGTAATGCAGAGGTTCGGCATCGTGTGTTCGGGCGCAGAGATGATAATCCGATTGGTGTCACCATCTTGAAACACCGACTTCGGTGGCTTGGACATGTTTTACGAATGTCGTCCCAGAGACTTCCACGTCGTGCATTATTTGCCGACCCTGGGACTGGTTGGAAAAAGCGGAGAGGAGGTCAGTGTATGACATGGTGTTGTGGCATGAAAGAAAGCTGCAAAGGGCTAGCTTCTGTTGGTCCTTCACGACTCCCTGGCTGGGGTCCGAGAGATGGTGCAACACAGTGGCTAGAGACGTTATCGGATATGGCTCAGAATAGAAGCCAGTGGCGATCCTGCTGCAACCTTCTTTTACTTTCTACATAAAGAATGGTTCTAACTTTCTTAACTGAAAGAGTCTTCTGGTTGTACATTTCAGTCCGCCTTATCTTTTCATCCCTTCTCTTCCTACTTTCATTATTTTGTGTGGCGCATATGTACCTGGTGCCCTTTTGTACCAATATATGTGTTTAAATAAATAAATAAACTTCGATAGTAGTAAAAAACATTTCATATAAGGATGTGATACGGAGAGAAATAATTAGTTTGTAGACAGAAATGTATAAAGTAATCTTACGGTTCAAGGGCAGACGAGTGTGTACACTTAAGTCATTGTGATCGAATTTGAGCCATGTCACCTAGAGTCTCCAACCATTGGTTACGATAGTCGCGCTGACCCCAACCAAGCAGTTTGTATCTACCAATATGTCTCAGACTAGAAGTTAGTGACTTCAAGCACTGATGCCACATTTTGGTTTAGCCGCCCCTAACATTCTTTCATTGCTCTTCTGAAAAACATCATCAGTACAAATTTCAAGCAGAAGTGAAGTACTCGAAATTTATCCACATATGACTAACAGCTTGTCTTGTCGATATTGATCTTGATTGGCTATTTTTCACCGTCACTGTTTCATCTTTATTTTGATTGTCTCTCCCATTCTACTTGATCCTATATTTGTCCATGATTTTTCTGAGTGGTTAATAAATCGAACCGATTTCGATTTGTTTATTGATTGGTAATTGGCCGGAGTGTCAAGCTTCTAGAAATCCCCTGGTGTTCTTAACGTTCTCTATCCAAAATATCGACATGAACGTGTGTTCACATGCCTTAGTATAAGCGGAGAAACATCACGATGTATGACCAATAATTTATATTCATGCAGGTGAAGATGAAGGGGGCTTCCACCTTGACCGGTGTAGTGTTTTTCACAATCGGAACAGTCTATTTTTTAGATGTTGTTCAGTTTTTCTTCTTTTGTTTTTTTATCCTTAGGTTTGCGTAAGGTTGGTTGAAGTGATTTTAGTGATTTATGTTCTCGTTTGGAGAAAGTGTAACGCATCAAATAGCGGTCGTATCCGACAATGGTTCACAGTTCACCTCTACTCAGTTTCAAGATTTTTCAAACGTCTATCTATCAAGCATCTCCACTCCCCGACTTACCACCCACAATCAAACGGTCAAGCAGAAAGATAAATATAAATAAATCTCAATATTTATCTTTCTGCTTGACCGTTTGATTGTGGGTGGTAAGTCGGGGAGTGGAGATGCTTGATAGATATTTTGTGTGGCGCATATGTACCTGGTGCCCTTTTGTACCAATATATGTGTTTAAATAAATAAATAAACTTCGATGGTAGTAAAAAACATTTCATATAAGGATGTGATACGGAGAGAAATAATTAGTTCGTAGAAAGATTTGTGGATAAATTCAAGAGAGCATTGATCAATTCAGAAGGGGGGGACGCCAGTGGAAACACTTCAGAAATTTTTATTCATCTACCGAATGACACCTAGTGATATGCTACCTGAGCAGAAGTCCCCGACAGAGATACTCATGAGAAGAAAATTGAGGACGATCCACAGTCGCAGACCACGTTCCAGAAGCTACCGACGTACAAGGTGAAATGTCCGGTGTTCGCTCGGGACTACAGACCAAATCATGGTCCCTGGATTGAAGCACGTGTGCTTAAGAAAGTAGGCAAAGTTATGTACGAGGTGGAGGTAGGAAAAGACAGGTGGACTAGACACCAAAACTAACTACGTAAACGGTTAGCCAAAGCGCGCCCATCGACTGCAGAAAATCTTCCGCTGGACATCCTGTTGGATACCTTTAATCTGCCAGTAATCTCAACACAAGAAGCTCAACAAGTCGATCTACGGTCCAGAAGGTGGTCACTACGCCAACGGCGACAGACAGTCAAAATGCAAGTGGACCCTAAGAATGTCCGTTATTAAAGGGGGAGGTGTTGGGGGTGTTAAATGCCCAGAACTCACTTGGTAAATGACCTATTTTTGTAATTTCATTTTGAAAATTTGAATTTCTTTGTTTTCGCGCCAAAAGCGCTCCTTACCCCTTCGAGTCGTATTTCCCACTTGGAAACACCTTAAACGCTATTGGTCCGTTGTATCTTTTAGTGTGCTATTTTGTAATGCTTCCCAAGGAAAATTTTATACTGTATGTATACGTTTGATTTCTTCCTCTTGTGGTTGCTTTGCTTCTGGCTGTTTACGGAATATATATTCCGCCTACTTAGTCTTGGACTTCTTACTCTAGTTAGCTGGGTTTAAGAGGCGTCAGAACAGCAACTTATTGGTCTCTGGTCACAAGTCTTTGTTCCGTTCGCTGACTAAGTGAATTCGAAAACGCTTCAGATATAACATTACTAAATTTTGATTAGGCTTCCGTTAAGTAATAATGTTTTGTGAGTTAAATGTCAAGTATATAGTATTTCAAATGGGAACTTATTATACTCCACACAAAAAACTCGATAATTATGGTAAAGAATTACAAAACAATTTCAAACTAACAACAAAGTGCACACCTTGTGTTGTAGACGATGATGAATCCATTAAGATGAACAGTGTTCAAACAAAATAGTACTGAAAATATCAATGAATTGAAAATGAAGAAAATTAAGGGTTATTATCAAGTAAAGAGAAGCAAAATTGCGCTACGCCAAACTGTACGTTTTTCCTATCTAACATTAAGGATTTGATTTGTTTACTAAGAAAAAATGTCCACATCCAAATATTTGTACCTGATAACTAACAGTGATTGGAGTTGGAAGCATAAATCTTTGGACGTCAACATCTAGAAGTTTCGTAACAAAACCTGAAGATCTTGAGTTTGATCCTTAGTGAGGAATCTTATGTTAGGAATTAAAAAGCTACTCAGTACTTCCTAGTTTTTAACGGTTGGATAACCGAAGTTAGTCTGTGATGTAAAGTATCAAATACGCAGATGAATGTTGTTTTCTATAAGGTTTAATAGGGTCATAGATAAAGAATGTTACGGAGTTCCGAAACCTTAAAAAATAGTTGTCCAGAGCTTTATGACTTTTCTTAACAGTTCTCTATGTGAAAGGATTTCATGATCCAAATCATCCTGAAATTTTATTAAGATACTTTAATCATCAATCAACTTAAAAGATACGTTTCTCTAACCACAGGATATCTCAACCACAACTAAAACTCATGATCACATTGTACCAGATTTTCGAATCTTCATCGATTTTGGGGAGTTAAGGGTATATATATTAATAAGGTAAACTGGAAAACTAGCATGTAGTTATTAAGTCTTGCTGATGGGTAGAAAGACAATTTATCCAGAATTTTTGAAAATCCGACTGAGTTGATCAACGGAACACAGTTTCATGATATATTAAAGCACTACAACTACAAAGCGACAAACTATGGATTATTTTGTGACATATTTCGAACGATTCTACTTTATCAGACGGGAGTTTGTAAAGATTTTAGTAATTTTTAATGGTTGAAATCATGAATCAATTGAAGCTAGACCACCATGGAAAACCTGGAAGCACTGGATGGCCGTTTCGTCCTACTGTGGGACTCAGCAGTGCGCATCCACGATCCCCCCTCGCGAGATTCGAACCCAGGAACTATCAGTCTCGCGCGCGAGCGCTTAACCACTAGACGACTGAGCAGGCATCCAACGGTGTTAATGTCTAACTTCAACCGTCCACAATTTGTCTACAGTGAGTTGATATCTCACAACAGACTTGGTTGTACTCCACTGGTCACTGGTTGCTCAATTTAGTGGATTGGTTAAAGTTGGACATTAACACCGTTGGATGCCTGCTCAGTCGTCTAGTGGTTAGGCGCTCGCGCGCGAGACTGATAGTTCCTGGGTTCGAATCTCGCGAGGGAGGATTGTGGATGCGCACTGCTGAGTCCGACAGTAGGATGAAACGGCCATCCAGTGCTTCCAGGTTTTCCATGGTGGTCTAGCTTCAATTGATTCATGATTTTAACTATAGAAAAAGATTCCACTTTACGTAAATAATCTATCAAACCTATATTCTAGCTGATCACGCACGTAATGACAGAAAGTGACATATGTTTCTGTCACTTAAAATTGGGGCAGATCGAAAACTTTAACTGTTAACTTGTATTCCTCAAACATATTTCTACTACCTGTCGGCTTAGTGACTTTAAGATAAATAACGGTTTGAAATTACCTGTAATGGAATAGTATGATTGTCATATATTTTGTAATAACGATCATGTTATAGAGAGTATATTTGTCTTTTGATAAATTTTTCGGTGTTGTTACCTAGGGACTAGATAACATGTAATCATAGGGACAGTGTATTAACTTACTGTCTAACATTAATAAAATTACTCCCATATCATGTAGAAAAAATTATATTTCACTCCCGCTGTATATTTCCGAATCGGTTACTAGTATTTAACACTAATTATAATTAAAAGAACGCCCAGAGTGGTTCAAAAACAATAAGGGCAAATTCATATAAACCAATAATGGTTGAAAATATACGTGATCAAGATTGAGAGATTTCGCATCAACCCCTAGTATTCAGACGGATTACTGATTCAAAAAAAACAATCAAAACCTTTTTATGGGTTAACGACAGTTCGTGGCTAAAAACCATCTTGATATTAAAGCATGTTTTACAATCCATCCCAGTAAGTAGTATTCCTGTTGGATACTTGCTAACAATGAAATTTAGTACGTGTGTTTCATTCTAATTGGGACTTGCCAGCTGGATATCCCTGTACCCCAGCGTTAACGCTTACAACATTGAGGACTTTCACTAGAAATACAAACCTGTTTTCCACTGAGCCCAGACAGCCGCTAAAGGTATGAATTTTATTTGTATGAGAATGTATTTTTCTATTGTTTAGTTTAATGATTGCAAGAAATGTATATATATATATATATATATATATATATATATATATATATATATATATATATATATATATAGATGAAATGAAATATGAATGACTTAGATTTGAACCCGGCTTATTATTTATATCTTGGTAGATGAAATAAATATTTATAATAAACATGTATAAATGAAAGTGTTTGTGAACTCTCTATAATCATTCAAGAAAATATCACCAGTACAAACAAGGGACGATAACAACCAATCAAAATAAATGTCAAAAGGACAAACTGTCAGAAATATGTAGAAATATTCGAATAGTATACTTCTACCTAAAGATTGTGCTGATGTTGTCCAGAAAAACAATGAAATCTTCATGATTAAACCAGAGTTCAGAGCACAAAAATTCCCCAAAATCATTCTCCTAAGCTACAAATCTTTGTCATCTAAGAATGAATATTAATTGATAGATCACATCATGCAATAGGTATTAATATCAAAAGACACACATCAGTGGTGAGTTTTAAAAAAATATGTATTGTAATCCCTTAATTTGAATCAATATTTATGGATCTTTACATCAAATATCCAAAGTGCATAGTTAATCTCAATAGTTGAAATATTGTAATAGAAAAAACATATTCAATTACCAAGTAACGTATACATATATCACAATGTTATTTCATTAAACGCCTACAAAACAAAGAAAAAGATGCACATTTTCACACTGATCGTCAGCCAAAATTAATTTCTGAAGTAAAAAGTCTGAGAACGTACTTAGTGTTGTAATTGAACCTAACAACTAAATAGTGACGTCTTTAATAAAGTTTTGGTAAGAATACAAACAATTCATTTATCCAGTTGCTAACATAGGCTGCTTGTATCAAAGGTGTATACGATTACTATCTACGTTTGTAAAACAGACTATAGATAACATTGCAAGCAATTAAATGAAAGGATCTTGAAAGTACTGCTCGATTATGATGAGATCACCAAGTGGATATGCTGAGAGCAAACAGAGAGTTTACGTGGTTGGAATCTGTGCTACATATGTCTAGCCCAAAACATACCGTGCTGCATAATCCTGACCATAATAGAAGTAGTTTTTGGGAAGCTCGAGGCGGCCAAATAAAGATATAGGACCAGGACATGAAGTGATTACCTGTTGATTTAAGACAAATCAGATATGGATGGTGGCTATCAGTGGAATCCAGCAGGCGCGTTTCTTCTAATGTGGGGAACGTCAGCTGAATGTAACTGCATCCCAGGGTTGACGTTCACTCCAGGACTCGGACCCAGTACCGTTCTCCTCAAGCACCATCGCGTTTTCCACTTAGCTACTCAGTTCGGATAGCCACTAACTTGTGCAATGCGGTGAATTTTAACTCATTTGTATATGTTGTTTGAATCTTTCCAATGATATTTAGGACTACAATCAACCGGTCTCTTCTTGGCGTACATGCATCCTGTGAGGATCGTCTCTATATTGCTTCAAGTTACAAGCACTCAACTTCTTGTTCAATATGTTTGATAAAAAGTACGGGAATCGTTTCCCTAAATAAAATATTATGTCACTTGAGATTTTTTGTCAGTGTACATGGTGCCAAGTGAAATGGTAAGTTACAAGATGATTTTTGCTTTACCAGACAAAGTATTCTCTATCTGTCAGCTATAAATAACTTGAGACCCCATAGAAATATGCATCGACCCAAATGGCCACACCGCACTAACACACTAAAACAAACTGATCACGATGAATAATATAGTAAGATTTTTAACAATAAAAATAGATATCGAGGATATGAATCAAGGATGAATTCTAAAAATAAAAGTACAAACTAATTTAGTGAAATAAGATCTATGAATAGACAAAAATTGATTAAGTCTACATAACTCCAGCCGACTGATTTCAAGTCATGTCTCCAAACATTGGTCACGATAATCAAGTGGACACCAACCATAGTCCTCATTGACCAATGTAGCTCAGACTAGAGGTCAATGACTTCATGAACTCGTGTCATATCATGGTTTAGAAACTCTTAGATTTTTCTAATCAGTTAAATCTACTTAAACTATCTAAACTGCAAGGGTGTTTTAAATCCACTTTTTTGAGTTCGGTAATTGATTAAACAAACAAATGAATTAGTTATTTGGTAACCAAATTATCTTAATTTAGATAACATTTCCTGAACAGTTTACATTGTGTAATGAAAGTTATTTTGTGACACATATCAATATTTTACAGCAATGTGTCAAAAGGCATTATACACAGATTTTCGATAAGATGATTTTTATTGGCTTTATGAATAAACAGAACCTCAGTAAAATATAGGGAGAGAATAATGTATAAAGTGTTCATTTGATATTTTTTAGCTAGACTTAATGACGAAAACTATATGGAAACAATTGCACTTGTATTTTACAATAACAGTTACCCAATCCCCCAAATGCCCTGGTACGGCCGAGAGTGGGGAGAGTCCGCTCTCCCTCTCCAAATGCTCCAACATGGCCACGCGTATACAACCACTGACAGTGAAGTCCTACTCATTGCCTTCTCGTGGCACAGGTGTTGTTTATGAAAGTGAGAGGACGAAAAGCAAATATCCGGCGCTTTAACCGGGTTGGTGGACAAGGCGAATCTACCTAGGGGAGTTGGAAAACCCTGATTCCAAACCAATGGTGCACATGGGCTCCAGTGTCCTGAGGGAACAAATGGCGCACGAATCAATCGTTGATCAACGGCTACCATGGAAATGCATCTCCTCATAAAGCTCCACTGCCTTGTGGATCAGATCTTTAGGTCAAAGGCTCCGGGTGTGGGTCCCTAAGAAAACCACCTGCTTCGGTTTGGGCACCTGGGCAGTATCACAGCCCTCAAGCAAATCGAATGAGATTTGTATGGCGCATATGTATCTGGTGCCTCTTTGTACCAATATTTATGTGTTTAAATAAATAAATAAATGAACTAAAAATGGATTAAGAAATGTGTAACAAGTTACAGAGTTGGAAAATCATCATGATATCTCAAAGAATTTTCAACAACATACTTTTGTGACGCTCGTCGATGTCTCTTTTTAGGAGAACGGATATTTTGTTCAGGAGTCTTTGGACATGAATGTGGGGATTGAGTAATTTTCTTTATTTTGCGAAGTTGAACTGGAATGATTGAAGAACGTCTTTTTTTCTTTTTCAGAAAAACTACAGATTTACTGAAAGATACAAAACGTTAACTATTTCATTGTACACGTACAAAACATCACAAAAATACAGCAACTTAATGTAGCTTATTCATTAAGTATAAACTCACAAGCTTAGGTTTAAGCCGCACTGTTTACTTGTAAGTTAAGGATACTGCCCGATCTGCCAGAGAGAGTGGGGTTGGAGTCGAAGACCTGATGGTATAAAGTTAAACCCCTTAAACATCAAGCCACCATTGCATTTATCATTTCCAGTTTAAGTCGATTAATAGAGTCGCATATGCCGAATATAGTGAAAACTGACCAGTGTTTATTGCCCTAAATTTAGAAGAAAAACTAGAGACTATAAAGCATTATTCTTGTTGTATATCAAAATTTGAGAAGTGATGCATACGTAAAAATAATAAAACTAAATGTTAAGGGAAGCTAAAATTAGGAAGAACAGGGTTAAAATAAATGAGTCAGGAAATAAAAATTATGAAACAAGTTTATTTTCAAGATTTACAGGATTAATAAAGAGTGCATTTGAACCAATGCAACCGAAGTTTCAAAGTATTGACTATTACAATGCTTTCTTGAACGATTAAGACTAACACTCTATAACTTGATGGACTGATTCAAGGTCTTTGTATGGCTAGTCTTAACTCTTTCACAGTCTACCTCTATATTAGACAGTATAGTGAAAAACGATAAGGAATTAGGTAGAATACCTAAAAAAAAAACCTCTTAGTCACCATAATCAATGGAGCAATTGACTCAAATTCTGCAAATTAAAATTCTTCTGTCAGTATAAAATTGAAAACAGAAATATTTTCAGACACACGTTCACAAATAAATTCCACCATGAAATATTGATAGACCACGGAATTCACAAAACGATGTGATCGCAATAACATCTGACGGTACTTTTTGCAGTAGGAAAAACATAACAAAATTTACATTATTTAAGTATTCAAAAAGCTATCAACACGGTAAACAAATCTTTATACTTTGGAGATGAAGGTGATTGAACCAGTGGGCTTGACGGCTTTTGAGGTTTATTAAACATTGGTGAGTTTATACTATCGGGTGGTTGAAAATATTTATGCAAGTCTTCAAACGATTCACTATTTGTGGATACTTCATTCATATCAGGGGATACAGAAGTAAGAGGGTTTGATCCTGGAGAAATCTGACATCCTACAGAACGTTTAGGTTGGGGTGAATGACATACACCTATCGATCGATTCAACGAATGTTTGGAAGACTGTTCCAGAGATGAAATCTTTTTCAACTGGAATAAAAATACCATCATTGTAATGAATATAAACAATAATTAAAAAATTATCAATTCGAGAACACTCTATACACTTGATACAGGGATTTCAATGCAACAGAAAGAGGTAATGAACTATGATCTACTCGAAAATTAAAGTAACTTGAACTTAATGATGCTAACTGGAGCCACAAAATAAAGTGGTGGGTCAGTAATTGGAAACATTTAGATTCCAATCAGTAGGCAGAAGGCTCGAACACCGCTACATCTACTTCGATCTGACCAGCCTGGTAGATCATTAAACCTCACAAAAAGTGATTCATAGCAACTACAGAAACCTGTACATGATAAATTAGTTGCAGTTAAAAGGAATCAGCCTTATCAGCAGTCAGTCAGCTACAACGTAGGACCAGACACACATATACATCGGTCCAAGTTGCCATACCTCATTAGCACAACAAGATCAACAACGGATTCATCGAAGTAGTTAATTTAGTGGTGGTAGTATATAAAAGATAGGTTGTATGTAAGGATATAGTAAAGGAAGGAAGAAAGTTATGAAGCAATTTTAACCTTAAGGTTTAAGGGAAGATAAAGAGTGTATACACCTACGCCATTGTGATCGATTCTCAGTCATGTCACCTAGAGTCCCCAACCATTGGTTACGATAGTCACGTGGACCCCAACCAGGTAGTCTGCATCTGCCAACATGGCTCAGACTAGAAGTTAGTGACTCCAAGCTCTGTCGCCACGTTTTGGTTTGGCCGCCTCTAACTCTCTTCCAACCCTCCCCTATATTAGTCAGCATAGCGCGTCGTGGTAATCGGTGTTCAGGCATACGTAACACATGGTCTAGCCACCTCAGTCGATGAAGATCCATGACCTCATCAACTGATTTATCATCATTTCCTAATACCCTGCGTCGAACCTCACTATTACTTACCCGGTGATCCCAGCAGATGCGAGCAATATTTCCAAGACATATGTGGTCAAATACTAGTAACTTACGAGTATCTTCTACTCTTGATGGATATGCTTCACAGCCGTAAAGTAGAACAGCGAACCGCTGCGCAGTATATTCGTCCCTTAACTGATGAACGGATATCTCGTCTTCGCCATAGGTGACGTAAGTTGGCAAAAGCCAAACGAGCTTTTTGAATCCGTGCTGAGATTTCGTCAGACACCAACCCATTAGGGCTGATCAGACTTCCAAGATAAGTGAAGTTGTCAACACGTTCGACTACTTCACTCCCTATCCTGCCTTATTAGCAAGTCCTTCCGTAATGTATTTTGGAGATTAATCACCGAAAGTCAATGTCTCATTACCAACATAAGGTTTTTGTTAAGTACGGTGAAATACAGCACAGGATTTTTAATTTAAATGAATGTAAACAATCCACCACATATATACATTCAACAATGCAAGATAAGTTTATCAGTGTCCCATTATTCGTGATCCTCATTATGGAAAATGCTTAAGTATCGATTGAGTAAGATTTTACAAGATTTAGTTACTTTTATGGGATTACAGTTTAAATTACAAAAGGTCAATTGTTAAGGCCGATTTCTAAAGTATATTATCAAGTTTTCCTTATTTTATAAAAGTATTGTTTACACACATTAGACAATCTCCAAAATTCCTCATGAAAATTCGTAGCTGAGCATATAGAGTAAAACTTAACGAGGTTAAGCACAAACACACATACAATTCAAAAATGAGATTATTAGTCCAGTTTTCCGAATACTCGAATTCCAGCCAAATGTATTATTTATTTACTTTCATTCAATAATGATAAGAATTAATATTTCTTCATACAATAAATATTGCTCATAGCGTATTGATAATAAAGTTTTAAGTAACCAATGAGTTGAATTATATACATTAAAAATAAGTTTGAACGCTATAATATAGTATAAACATGATGTATATATATATACAGATGAAATAGTATTATTACAGCAAACTAAAACTCACTGCAGAACCTAGCTGGCGCCTTTGTTGAACTACATAACGTGTAAGATAATTTATTCGTGCTGACAATGACTTTATTTCGATTTTCATAGACTTGATATAATTTATAACATCTGAAGTTAAGAAACATTTCAGAGCAAATTCATGTATCTTCATTTAATTATAAGTAATAAAAGTTTCAAAAGATACTTATGTCATAATTTATGAAGACATCGGATTTTAAATAGAAATATACATTCGTTTGTTTATACCTATGGAATTATCAGTAGCAATTTAACGACAAATAGATGAAAATAAGCTAAACCTAACCCAATATCTGTAGAGCGGGTGGTTTAGCAGTTGAAATACTCAATTTCCGACCATAAGGTAGCTCAAAAGCATTGAACTAAAATGAACCACAAGAAAAAATGTGTAATCAGTGAGAGATAATCGAAAAATACAATGTGATCCGATGGATATCTCTAACGTAATACAAGGCACAACTGAGGGTTTTTCGATAGTAGAGACTAGATTACTAAAATTTGTGTCATCCTTGGAAAAGGACCGATATTTTAATAATCCAAAACGAACGAAAAAAGTTGCTGGGGAGAAAGTTATTGATACACAAATAACCATGAGGTCCAACTACACTATATTGCTATTCCTTTTCTTGTGTTCAAAGTTAGCAGATATAATCACAGACAAGAGTAGTTGTAAAGCTTGTGTTTATGAATGATTTATTTTGTAAGTGATTAATTCATCAAAAAACAAGTCCGACTACTAACTTACTTTCACTGATGAAATGGAAAGTCATAAGAACAGGAATGAAGACGACCGAAAGACAAAAAGATTTGTACAATATGGATTACAGTATACTAGTTTGAATAACAAAAGCTATCAAACTTATAATCCATCCACCAATGAAGTATCCTTTGTTTCTTTGTCCAGATTTATTGGGATTTTTATCGATCTCTCTCAATTCTTGTTCTAATTTACGTGTCCGAGGAATACTAAATAGAGAAGAACGTAACACGGAGCTACTTTACGGTCAGTAAGACAACTGAACACTTTGCAGCAGATAACTTTTTCAGACCACAAAAAATCTTTCCGCCTCTAGGAGTTCCGAATATAAGGAACACTCCATGAAAATTCTACTTGTGACCAACCTTGAGAAATTGTTCTTTAGGCTCTCCTGTCACGCTCACAGGCTTTCAAGACCAAAAATAACCCCATTTTCTTTTCAGTTGGCTCATGAAAATATATTGTTCAGTCGTATTAGCAATAAGCGATTGATAATCGCTCACATAACTCTAGTGGCACTTGGGATAACTGCGTTTTCTGAATGAACCTGTGACCAAAATTTCAAAAAGCATATCCCCTGAACACTTAACCACCAGCAGTACATTAGTGAAAAGGAATTTAGTAAATACTCAATGAAGTCCAAACATATAAACTTCGTTTTCATTCATATGATACAAAGAATCTAAAAAAGTTCTCAATACGCTTACCTGATTTTGAGGGACCGGACATTTCTCTACTAAAATAATAATGAAAATTATTCAGAATTTCCAAAATAAGTTCTACTGAACATAAGCAATGCTGTTAAATATTAAACATATATGAAACTGTTGGTTAGATGCAGATTTTGCTATCTTAACGTCATGGTGGTGCTCGGTCTCACATAGTTGAATACAACCAATAGAAAGATAAGACTGAATTGGCACTTATCAACTAGACGTAACTTTTAAATCAAGGGATCCAGTGCTGTGACCGGATTTCGAAGGTATGGTTAAGTCTAGAGATTGTAGTAGTATTAGAAAACATGCAGCAGATAACATCGAAGAAAGTTGCTGGTGTAGGATACTACTGTTGGGGATATGCTATTAGCAAATACAAATAATGAAGGAAAGAAATATCAATTAAAAGTGAATTTACAGTGATAGTAGGATAAACTTTTGACACTTTTTTGTTAAATTACTTTATTAACTTTTAGTAAATTTCTCTTATGATTGTGTTCGGTGACAACTAATCGAAAATCCCAATTATTGTAACTAGCACTTAACTGACTATCATAAATGTAATTTTAATTCGACTAGGGTCATCGCCAGTAAAGTCTTAATTAGGAAAACGGACCTCTTTACAGTTCGACAAGAAAGAAAAGGACAAGAATGGTTTGTCTGTCATAGTTGCAAATACATTAGCCTAGTGCACGAACGTGTTAAATACTCTTGTTATGTTTCAAGCGATCACGAGTTCACCTAGTCGGCGAAAGGAAAAAAGACTCCGTGACCAAAGACCAATAAGCTAGCTGTTCTGACGCGTCCCAGCCCCGCTAACTAGAGTGAGAAGTCCAAGTTCAAAGTGGAGAAAATATATTTCGCCAAGTGTTATTCCTCTTCTAGTATGCTTCTGTGAGTGCCCAGTCTTCCATTGAATGAGTCAATTGAAGGTGTGGACACCACGACTTCGGGTAACAGGTTCCAAGAATTGATGACTCGGTGTGAAAACTTATATGCCACGGGTATTTTATTTGTTCTTGGCTTTTCTACTCGCCTGCTATGTCCTCTGAGATGTTCTACTCTAGTGGGGAGAAAAAGAGAATATTATATTAGGTTCAAAATCAGATCACCTCTTAATCTGCGATAGGACAGAGTAAAGAGGTGAATTCCGGAGCTCTGGAATTGCACGGGTAGCTGCTCTCTGTGCTTTTTCCAAGATATCCGAGTCACCTTTTAAACAGGGGCTTGCAGCTTGAACGCAGTTTTCAAGCTTAGTTCCTACTAAGGTTGTGTATACTGTAGTGAACATGGTTGTATCTAACTTGGTGAATGTCCGTCTTAAAGCCCAAAGGGTTCTAAACCCCTTAGTTGCGACCTCCCGGCAATGGACCGTGGTCTTAAGATCATGACCCACTGTCACCCCAATATCCTTGTGAGACTGGACCACGGGTACAGGCACTTCCCTAAGCTGTACCTATTTACTTTTGTATCCCCAAAGTGCATGTAGACACACTTTGCCACGTTGATAGGCATCAGCCACTCTTTATACCAGTTAATCACAATATTTACGTCTGCTTGAAGTGCGCATGCATCTGCGCCTTATTTCTTTCCAGAATTCTACATCGTCAGCGCATAATAACATTGGGGACTCTACTATACTTGGGAGATCATTTACACACATAATAAAAAGTAAAGGACTCAGGATAATACCTTGAGGTACTCCACCCAGTACTGGTCTCCAGGTGGAGCACTTCCAATTTATCCGTACTTTCTATCTACGACCCACTAGAAAATCCTTAATCCATTTTAAGAGAAGCATGACAATACCAAGATTCTCTAGCTTCAAGAGTAGTCTATTTGTTGGCACCTTTTTAAATGATTTGCTGAAGTCTATGTAGACCATATCCACTGATTTTCCGTTGTCTAGAGCCTTTGTCCAATGCTCCCTTGCTATAAGGTTTGTTGTGCAAGATAAACCTTTTTCTGAAACCATTTTGTTCTCTGTTTAACAAGTTGTTGGTTTCCACAAATGTCATTATGGTTTTTTGACTATTGTTTCCAGTATTTTGACTACGACACTGGTGAGGCTGACAGATCTGTAGTTCGATGGAAGTTGTCTCGATCCTGATTTAGGTATGGAAGTGACAACTGCATTCTTTCAATCTGTGGTCAAGTGACATATTGAATATCACAGTCAGTGGGGCTGCGATATATTGTGCAATTTGTCTCAAGATTTTGGGGTGTAGTTCATCCGGGCTTCTAGACTTTTCCATATCTAATGTGCTAAGAGCCTTAAGTACATCATATTGGTCAAGGTCCACGGTGAACAGATGGTTTGTTGACTTTATATTTTGGTTTAGTTTTTTTGACTAGATGAGGTTCTTGAGTGAAAACTAGCCTCTGCTTTTTCCTAATCGTACTGTATAAATTAAGGCCCACTTCCTTTCTCATTTAGATTGGGAATCCAATGCTGCATCGTTGCGTTGTAATTTATGTACGAGAATACACTCTTAGGTTGCTTGAGTGCAGATTGTGTCATCTTTTTTATTTATTTATTTCAACACATAAATATTGGTACAAGGAAGTACCAGAAAAATATGCGCCTCACAAATCTCATTTGATTTGTGTGAGGACTGTGATACTACCCAGGTGCCCAAACTGAAGCTGGTGGTTTTCTTAGGGGGCCACACCCCGAGCCTTTGACCTAAAGATCTGATCCACAAGGCAGTGGAGCATCGTAAGGAGATGTGGTCCCATGGCAGCCGGTGACCAGCGATCGGTTCATACGTCATATTTCTATTAGCATCCTGGAGCCCATGTGCACCATAGGTTTGGAATCAGTTTTCCAATTCCCCTAGGTGAACTTTTCGTGTCCACCAACCCGGTTAAAGCGCCGGACATTCGCTTTTCGTCCTTTCAATTTTGTAAACAACACCCCCGCCACGAGAAGGCAGTGAGTAGAACTTCCGTGGCAGAGGCTATATACGCACAGCCATATGAGAGCATTTTGAGAGGGAGGGAGGACTCTCCCCACTCTCGGCTGTACCAGGGCATTTGGGGGCTAATAAACAGCTAGTTTTTAGCTAGTTTATTGCATTATAAGGAGACCGCCAAGTTGACGGTAGTTTCCCTTTAAGTCTAGTTTCAGAAGTGGGATTCGAACTCACGCCCACAGAGTGTCACCTGCATCTCATATTTCCTCTGAGATTCCCGGATTTCAATTATACACTAATATTTCTTGCCGATCTGTAGCGTTACATTGTACTTGCTGTGCCAAGGCTGATGGTAACATTCCAACCTTTCTTTTGTCTTAGTAAACGTCGAATATCCCGGCCTATCCAGGGATGGCCGTGTTTCTTCTTCTTTGGGACTGTCCAGGATATATATGGTTGAATTACCCGATTGTATAACTACCTGAAATGTGTCCATACCTCTTCTACTGATGCTTCTGAGTCAAATTTCCAGCTTTCCGCCGATACTGCAGAGTTGACTGCCTCTATATCTGCGTTCTATATGTTAAGACGGGTCGGCGCAACTGTTTGACACATCTCAGACATGAATTTGAATAAGATGAATGCACGACCGCTTCCCCCTTGAGGTGGCAAGAAAGTCATTTGACCGACATCATCACTGTGTGTGAAGACTAAGTACAAGAGAAACGAGAAACTTGGTAGGTCATATCTGATGGGATCTCTAATGTGTTGGAATAAAGCTAGTGCAATTAAGGTTTCTAACAGTTTGCAATCACATGACGTTATCAATGACCTTACTTCTAGGTTTCCCCAGTTTATATACGGTGCATTAAAGTCTCCTTCTATCAGGCTTTTACCCCTATTACACTAGGACTTAAGTTTGCTTAGGGGGAAGTCATGTACTACACATTCTGGACTGCGATATGCTACAACTGATCAAATATCTTGCCGTCTACATTTCAACCTGCAACGCACCACTATACATGTCCCTGAATCATGTGCCATTGTCTAAACAGCTCGTATGGTTAAGGTACTTTTCGTGACCAGGATAACCCCACCTCTCCTACGTTTTAATCTATCAGCCCCATTGGATAAAAAACCAGCCAACTGAATTTCATTATCAAACACTTCTGACGTTAACCATATTTCTGAGACAGCAATAACACCCGGTTTTTCTATAACCACGATTATTTTAAGCCCTGCCATTTTATTTAGTAGACCGTGAGCAGACCTTTAATTCTGTGAAGAACTTTCCTTTACTATCCCGAGTGTTCTGGGGATCGTTTTGCTCCGAACTTTTACAATGTGAAAACCCTTAAGGACAAGGTTTCTTTCACCGTTTCTGCGGCGCTCATTGATCTCTATTTCTGCAGCTCGCCTCTCTTAATACGGTCGACCAGGCTGAGATCCTCGCGGAAGTATATTCCGAACACAACCAGTTTGCGTGAGTTTCCCAGTACTTTGTTTCTTTCTTCAACCGTAGCAAAGGTAACTTTTAAGAGGCTGTTTTTCTGAGTACTTTCAGAATTCACCTTTCATCTTATTCTGTAAAGCTTACAGGTGCTAACTCCTGAAACTGTTTCAGGGAGCCTGCTTATTAAGGACTTGATGTGAATGAGATCGTGCTCAAATCTAGCCTTTGGTTCCTTTTCGGCAGATTCTTATGAATGGCCTATCAGCGGGGTCTGTCTTAATATGTTGTGGAATTTTAATTCCTGAGATCGTCTCTTTTCTGCAATCCGTTTCCAATTTGGCGTCAACCACAGAGGTTACATTCTCTTTCCTACTTTCTTTCATAATTCATTCTTGAGCAAACTCAATATTTTGTCAAAGTCTGAGTTTCCATATAAGCTGTACATGGGGTATTTGTTTTTTTGTTTGTTGAAGTTAATAACACCAACTAATTCATAGTCTAGAGTTACCGCATACTCGGTGGGGTGTGTCGAGTTAATCCGACTACGACTAAACCAACATCCCATTACAATATGTCGCGTATTTGTATTTAGTTAAAAACAATTGTCTAGTATCTTAACAAATCAGTTATCTACAACATAGGACCATGCACA